ATTAACACACAGCAGCATCTAGTTCCATGGTAAGCTACGAGGCTTATGTTATGGATACCGTATAGTTGATACACTACACATATATAATAACTTTTAATAAATACATATCATGAATATAAACAACCATGACTGAAACCCCCAGCGGGACATGAATCCGCGACCGCTGGCACAGCAAGTTGATTCACTACAAACTAAGCCAAACGTGTCGTTGTTGCCTTCAAATAGTACTGGTATGCAAAATATTTTGACAAATATGAGGTTTATCGTAAGAAGCCATAAGCAAAATACAGAAAGTCTTAAGTTAAGCGGGAAATACGTATAAAATAGACTTATATTACTTTTAAAATATCCTTGCTCAGGATAAATTGCGTGCTTGGTCCTGACAGAGCAGTCATTTCGCGAGAATTTTATGTTCCACACTTTATCACCAGTTTAGGCACCAGTACTATTGGCTCTCGTAAAAATCTCGTGACTTTTTCGTGAATTTTCAAGCAAATCTACAGCAGATATATGAGATTTAACTGCGAGATTTTTAGTAGTTTTTTTACGATGTAAATGTACGAGCATGCATTTAGAAGTAGTAATTTTGCAATTTTTTTAATTTTACAGAGAAAAGAAGCAAGGGGTCGTGATAACGTATAAAAAAGTTTATTAGTGTGACATAGGGTCATTGTAATCTTAGTGTTTTAAATATTTGATTTAGATATTGTGTAGAACGTTACTAGGATATCTAGATTTTCTTTTAATGTCCTGATTGAAATCAGGGTGAGTCTTTATTTTATTATAAACTAGCAGAACCCGTGGCTTCGCTCGCGCTAAAACTACAGAAAAACTCTAAAAATAAGATTTCCTACGAACTTTCACCCCCTATTTACCATCTGATTGAGATAAATTTCGAAAAATGCTAAAACACGTATTTATTTAATTGTATTATTATTTAAAGCATTCATACCAATTTTCAAGGAATTCTGATCATAAATAATTTTTGGGTTGTATTATAACGTGTTTTCGCGTGGGAATGAGATTATCTCCCGCAGTAAAAAGTAGCCTATGTCACTCTCCAGCCCTCCAAATATCTCCACACAAAAAATCGAAATTTCGACGTGATAGAAAGACAAACAAACAAACAAACAAACAAACAAACAAACAATATTAGTATGGATTACGGCTCCTTTTATTATAAGCTCCGTTTACTATTTGTAAAAATTCTATAAAAAAATCATACTGCACAAAGTGTCACAGATACAATTTAAAAAGTTGCACATTCCAAATGCTTGTAAGTTGCATAAACATGTATATCCGTGTCTAATTAAAATTGAAAAAAATATTGCTCGTTTTGATTTAAAAAAAAAGACATTATTCTATTGTGATATTTATTAAGGAAATAAAGATGCTTTATTATTATTGTGTATTATAATATGGGATATGAGAAACAAAAACGTGTGTAACGGAAGATATCTCAAAAACTACTCAACGTAATATGTATCTTCTTCAAAATAATTAAAAGTATTTTAAGAGCTCAAATATTTTCATACATTATCTATCCATTTAGTAACTAGTTTGCGAATGGTGTATCCTGTAACGGTTAACCTGACGGTGGTCTTTGTATACATATCTCTCGCCAGAGCTCTCTAAGCCCGCTAGAGACGAATATTTAAGTACATGTCGCGGTTACAGCTTATCTACAAAACTTGTTCTGTACATGTTTTACGGACCCTCTGTAGGACACTTTAGTGCCCTTTTAGTGAGCAAATTAACTTACTATAATTATACATTATTTTGTAATCATTATTTCTATAGAATCCTTTTTCTTATTAGTAAAAACAGTAGAAAATTTGTTCAGTAGTTTTTGATATTCGCCAAAACAAATACAAAGTCCGTCTGACTTTAATTTGTGATATAGTGATGAAAATTCTTACAGGATTAAAAAGACATTTGGTTGATTGGATTTTTATATCTTACAAATAATCACACGAGGCACTTTAAATAAAATTGTTTCGTGGATTTTTTCGCAGATTAATTTCGATTTTTGCTTCTCGACGTTTCGAATGCTTTACAGCAATCATGGTCACGGGAAAGACTTAGATTTTAGACGTCTTAAAATATTAAGAAAAATCCGAAAAAATTGTTTAATTTAAAATGGTTAATATTCGCGTAAATCTAAGAAAGCATCATATGTGATACTTCAATTATTTAATAACAAGTATAAATAACATAATACGTTTTACTCCAACAGCTTCAACAAACAACGTCAAAATGTCTCGTATTACATCTTGCTCGCCTTATATGCTAGTACAAGAGGGTAATCTATTTTAAGACTGTTGACATCAAACACCTACATTTTGTCAGTACCCGTAAATGATATATAGCGCTCAAGCGACGGTCTGACGGTGAAAAATGATGTAAGAAAATATTTCAGTATACGTTCGTCTGAAGATTGACAGATCTCCAAAAATACTGCTTAGATTGGATTTATACTAAAATATGAATTTATTCAGAAATGGTAGTTATTGTCTTTAAATGTTTTTTAGATCTATGGGGCCGTTCAAGTATTCAGTAAGAGAATTTTAGTAACTCCTTCCTCCCCACTATCAGCAAAAGTAAGCAAAGTTCTTACTCCAGCTCATGGGAGGGGGAGTACCTAAACTTACGCCTCAACTATTTTGGGGAATCTCTGAACATACTTTCCGCTTTTGAGCATAGACAAGTAAGGTTCCCATATGTATTCTGAAAACATTGCGTTAACAAATCAAAATGTACTAAATTTTAATTAATTATTTTAAATAAATAATTATTGCGGACGTAATCTCCATCCAGACCCCTACCCCCCTCCCAATTCCCCGTGTCATCAAATCATCAAATCAAAGTGTCATCAAATCAAATAAGCAAAACGAAGACAGACCACACCCCCCCCCCCTCCCCCCGCTGCCCTTTGCTGCTTACGTATACTTGAATGGCCCCTGGGCTAGATGCTACAAAATTGATTTTCATTATGTCTGTATATTATATAGTAAATAATAAACAATTATGAATGATATAAAACTAAAGTGTATAATTTTAATCAACACATCCATCTGGCCCATGATAAGGTCGCCTTCAGACTTTTTCTGTTTTAAGCCTATAGTTATATTTTTTACTAATAAGGTATTACACATACATGTATATTTAAAAAAAATATAATATTTCTACATATAATTTTTTATAAGGAGTCATATTTTCTTTTTGAGTTCAATTATCTATGGAAAAACGTACTTTTGAAAAATAATGGAACAAGTGCTAAGATTGACTCATACATAAAGGGTTTCTTCGCACGAAACGCTTTTAATTTATTTTTGTTTTATACGTAATTTTTAAGATAAATATGTAAGTGCTTTGTTAAGTTAAAAGTAAAGTAAAATATTTGCCAACCTTCAATATTCATTTAATCGACTGCAAAAATAAATTTGTATTTCATTTTATTTTCATCCCTCGGTTATTTGAATAGGGAACTGCAACATATTTGAAAAACTGCAGGTAACTCAGGATACTCAGATATCTAAATTTACATTTAATTTACAAGCGACTTAACCTCGCTTCACTCGGGTGCGTTCCTAGGTACGTTATATTTTGTAAGCGGACCCCTAATTCTTTTTCTAAAACAAAAGTATTCTTAGTTACTCCTTACATCACCAGCTATCTGTCAGTGAAAGTCCCGTCAAAATCAGTCCAGCCGTTCCGGAGATTAGCCGGAACAAAAAGACAGACAGACGGACAAAAATAAAAAAGATGTGTTTTTCTTATAAGTGCCGTATATAATTCCATACGCATTTAATAAAAAGCTATTATTTTGACATTACAAACATACACTTCAATTTTATTTAACTGTATAGATAAAAGCCATCTATTTTTTTTTGCTGTAAACTGTAATTTAGTAATACATGCATAGCTTCAAAATACACGGCGGCTTGTTTTTAACCCCCGACGCAAAAAGAGGGGTGTTATAAGTTTGACATCTATGTCTGTGTGTGTGTGTCTGCCTGTTTCATCGTAGCTATCAAACGGATGGACCGATTTCGATGCGGTTTTTTTCATTTGAAATCCAGTTTCCTTGCGGTGGTTCTTAGGTATGTTAGATGAATATATTTCAAATACTGTTAGTGTGGAACATTGAATGTCTTAAAACAAATTTATTAAATGAAATAAAAACCGTTTCTTTTTATAATTTTATCAAGTAACAAAAGAGTAAACTAATTTTTATTATTATAAGATATTTTATTTACTACATTGTAACGTACTATATTAAAATGACAATATTTTGATATATTATAAATATTATACAATACATTAAAATGTATGTGACATATTTGAAAATAAGCAAAATTTATTGAAAATTATTTAATTCTCAATTCGGGTTTATGGGATTTATGAATAAAATATTTTTTTAAGAAAAATAGTGGAAAAATCAACCCAAATTGATTATCCCTTCCTTTTGTTAAGTAATTATCTATAACAAACAGACAAACGTATAAGATTCTCTCTTCAACTCAGTTAAACTGTCTCATGCCATAAGAGGAGGTCGCTGGCTAGACCCTTTTAGATTGACAGTACGTACTCAAGTATTAAATAGAATAAAAACTCATTAAATGCCCATTCTGTTGTTATAGCTTATAATAAAAATACTTATAAGGAAAGTAGCTCTGGAGGTAGTTTTAATCTTCGTCCGAGTCGAAGACATGGTTGAATATGAATATGTTGGAACATAATTAACACACAGCACCATCTAGTTCCATAGTAAGCTACGAGGTTTATATTATGGATACCAGACAGTTGATACACTACACATATATTACTTTAAATACATACATATTATAAATATAAACAACCATTACTGGAGTACAAACATTCGTGCTCATAACACAAATGAATGCCTCCAGCGGGACTCGAACCCGCGATCGCTGGCACAGCAAGTAGGGTCACTACAAACTAAACCAAACGTGACGTCTGGTTCAGTCAATAAATTATTTTATATTATCTTTAATCCAGTCTAAATATTTTGATATATCAGAGAAAACTACATAAGAAAATGGGTCGCAGACAGGTGCATCGCTTCTCGATAAACTCGCTGACACTATGCCTTTGAGGTACCATGCTCCTGGTACATCACCATCATTTGGTACATTCTCTCTTTTAGCTAAGTCAGGGACGAAAACGAAAAAGCCACCTCCACTATCCCCATTGCAGGCAGATGTACCTGTAAATTGTAGCAAATCAGATAGTATTGAAAACACAGCAAAGAATATACGAGTACAACAACAATTTTGTAATTATTAGTAGGTACTTAGTAGATATATTAGATTATATAACGAATATTGATCTTGTGTGGAATACAGTTCCACTTTACAATTATTATAATTACTACACAGTTATAATATATCTATACATGTAACAAAATTCTAACTGAGTCGAATCTGTACATTATATGTTTTTTGGAAATCTTATTGAAATAGTCATTAAAAGTACTTGTTATTTAAAGTCTTATTAATAAAGTTTATTTCATTTCATTATTATCGATACACAGGCCGAATCTATAGTTTTTAGAATTTTTGTCTGTCTGTCTGGGAACGCATCACGAGAAAACCACTGAACAGATTTTGATGAAATGATGATAGCTGGTTATCCGGGTCAGCATATAGGATACTTTTAAAAAATAAAAAATATCTCATCTCTGAGAAATGTATACGAAACAACACCCCAAAAATCTCTTTCCATACTTCTAAATATTAATTACTGTGGACGCGAATATATCTTTAAAATATTCGACTTTCTAGTATGTTATTTTAGTCAGTCAAAAATATTTTGGTCAAAAGGTACAGTTTACACTATAGCGAACTTGAACTCATGACCCATCAGACTTTTCTTTTTATAAGACGAGCAAAAATGGCATAAAGTCCCATTTCAATTTGCAAAGCACCCATGGCAAAAAATATTTTACTCTACTCACCATTCCTATAGCCAGCACAGAATTTTGTCCCATCTTGGATAAAGTTGCCGTAAAACACTGGATTGCTTAACACACAGGTTAATTCTGATATTTTAGGCATAGTTGTTGCGTGAAGTGTTGATGACAATGAATCTGATGAGTCAAATCCCCATCCCACTACCTGGAATTAGTAGAAAAGATTATATTAGAATTAAAAGATTAGATTGAAGCTTGATTGAGACATGGATTCATTTTGAAAAATCTGCTTGTTTTTTCTCTTTTACCGTTCATCTATACATAATATAATAAAATTATGAATCGAATCTGTAGGAAAACAAAACCTACATAAAATATCTTTTAGAAAATCTTATTGAAATAGTCATTTTTATCGATAGTTTTTAGAATTGTTGTCTATCTGTCTGTCTTAGAACGCATCATGAGAAAACCACTGCACAAATTTTGATGAAATTTGGTATGATGATAGCTGGTTATTCGGGTCAACGTATAGGATACCTTTTACTGCGGGAAAATATCTCATCTCTGAGAAATCTATATTAAATGTTAAAACGAGTGGAGTCGCTAGTTCTAAATATAACGTGTCTTTTCCATTCTATGTGATATTGGCTAAGTAATTTGTGCCAACCCAACACTTCTAGAAGCCACGAAACAAACAAATTGAGCTGAATAGAAATCGGATTGTTTATGATTTTAAATTTTTTCCTTTAGGTTCCTTTAGATTTTTTTAGGTCAATGTGATAGAAAAGAGAAAGTAAAAATATATATTTATTTATAAGTATAACAAGTAAGTGTATTTTTGTTATTAGCTGCCAATTTCATTCTCGAATAAGTTATTTAGTACCGGTATTGTTAGATATTTTGTTAATATTGTTATTAAGAACTAATATAAGCTAATTAAGTTTTAAGTCGAAATCTTTGAATAGTATTACCATAAATTCTGTATAAATTTTCTTTTAGTATAGTTTAAGAAGAAAATCAAATAATTACGCGCACAAAATATATAATTAATATATTCATATATTTCTCATTTAAATATAAATGAAATAATTTATACTTAATCATGTTTAGATGCAAATTATAAAACACAGATAATCACTTGTGTTTGGCTCACAATTATATAATAAAATATTGCCTAGATCTAAAACCTAGGAAATTCTTATTTCACTATCTGATGTCTGTGACTTTGTACGTAATTCTATTTAGAAATTATTATTCTATTCCATATATCTTGAGCTATATTGTTTTACTTATTAACTTACTTGATATAAAATGTCAATGAAGAAACAAAGATACGGATAGGACAAAGATAAAAAACATGTGCCTACTTATACATAAAATATAATGTATTTTCTATATAAAACAATTTTATACATATATATATACATATAATTCGATTATCACAATACTTGTTATTACTTATTTATATAATAGTTTGCGTTTGGGCTTAATATTATTAAATCTTACATTTTTGGCCTAAATTCTTGCATAAATAACATACCGTTCCAAATATATCAAGAGTAGGTAATCGGTAGTAGGCATCGTCATACCAGAGACAAACAGGTTGTACGTAGTTGTTGAAAAGCACATCAGTTCTCAACTTAAGTAAAGATATGTCATTTTTTAGATTCTTCGAGTAATATTCATCATGGACAATCACTTGAAATACCTGGAATTGAAAATAAAATAATTCTTACATTGAAAATTTAAAAAACTCCCAATACAACAATCCATTCATTGGGGCAATTACAATGAGCCTAAACACGATATCTCTGGAGTATTTTAGTAAAGCGTTGAGCATCTAGCAGATTTCACGTGACGCTGCAGCATCAGACTAAGATTGCAATAATGTCATTAAAATAATGGGATACTAAGTTTCCCAATAACTAAATTAAAATCGGTTCATCCGTTTGGATGCTACGATATCACAGAAGTCTTTCTGTGATATCGTACACAGATACGCAGATGCACACATCAAACTTAACAACTCATTTTGCGTCAGGGGTTAAAATTACTAGAATCTCTGTTTTACTTAGTATTTTCATAATATATAGTATTTGACCGATTTAATATGTACTTGTATGTATATCTTTTATATTACGCATTACAATAACACAATAATTTGTTACAAATATAATAGTTTGTATTTGTGTTTAATTTTTATATAGTTTCCTTTACGCTATAACGTTTGGACAGATTTGGATGTTATGTATACATATGCTGCTGGAGCTGGATATCACAAATGTCACAATTAAGCTATTGTTAACACCTCCATGTAAATTTCTAAGAAATTAATTAAATTTCTAAGAAATTAATTAAATTTCTAAGAAATCTATTGTTAACTGACACGCCGGCGTGTCCGCGGTCGTGGAGGGATTAAATACCTAGAGACGTAACTAGTATGTTCATACATCATACTCATATTCATACATATTTGTTCCCCATCGTCGTCACGAAGTCGTTGCCGGCGTCGAAGCCGTATCGGATTCTAGGAAAAATCTTTTGGGAATATCCACTATACAATGTATGTTTAACTTACATGTGTTATATATATGTTTAACTTAAGGAAAGCTAAGACATTAATCTATTAAGATGTTCATTTACTCCACAAAAAATATATTGTAAACAAATCTATTCACCTCTCTTTCTTGAATCGCTTCATCACTGCCATATAAATTATATTTTCCTAAAAATACGCCTAGAATATCTGGAAGTACTGGTATGCCGTTTATTGTTGTGCAATGAGCAGCTAAAAATGAAAAATATTGTAGAATATAATATCCAAATACGATGAAAGGAGAGCAGGTTTGATTCCCTTTTCTTTTAATGTTGGGAAAGGTATTCACGCATACAGTTACAGGTGGTTATACAAGTTTTTGCTACAGAACATTTAATAACATAAAAACTAGATAAATAATTTGATTATATTATAAAATAAATCGCATCAAAATGGGTACAATTTTTAGTATAATTAAACTTAGTTTCGATAATACATATACCTGTTAGAACAAAATGTTTAGTAACCAGTGTCCCACCGCATACGTATTTTAGGCCAGCCTTCTCTTGACGATATATAGCGGTATGCCAGGGCCAGTCCCCTGGTTTTGTACTGTACCCGTTCACTATCAACTCTGTATGCAATACTTTACGTTTACCGCAGTATCTATCTGGAACTCCTGATCGTTTTATAACTCCCACTGGAAAATCTTCAAAGTATGTCTGGAAATGAAGAAAAAGTGTCATATATTTGAGATTTCAAATAAAACATTTTTTTCGGATTTTAACACGGTTTGATTTAGACTTTTTGTTTCTGACGTTTCGAATGCATTACAGTTAACATGTTCAAGAGTATTTGACACCTCAAAAAGTATAGTAATTGTTATTAAAGACGACTTCTACCCACAAAAATCTCACTACTATTGTAAATACGAAAGTTTGTATTTATCTGTGTATGTTTTTTACTCCTTCATAGTGATGCAGCTGAACAGATTTGGATGAAATTTACTACACGGATAGACCTTTTTTTTTTTAACGTTGGGAAATGCATTTACGCACAACGTGTGGGACTCACCGGCGAAGCCAGTACTACCCACTAAAACCCAACAAAACCTTCCCCCGTCTTAATGGGGCGTCGCAGGATCGCTTACGCATTCAACTACGACGCCCCGACGGCAGGTCTGCCGAAGCAGACCACAACAACCACGGGGTAGCAACCCGCATGGTACAATGCCCTCCGAAGAGGGCCACCTCCCACCGCCCACCGAAGTGGGCCACCTCCCTGTGCGTTTCTTGGCTTCGCGCCCGGCTGTATTGCCGGGCACTACTGAGCCCCCCCACCACGACAAGGTGAACGCACGTTGGGGGGGGACTACACGGATAGACCTGAATTAACGTGAAGTAACACATATTTGCGAAGAATCTGGAAAGCAAATTATATTACTTTGCAAGAATTAAAATCTTCCCAGGATCTTTGCAAACAGCTGCTGCAAGAACGTGAGGACAGTGAGGAGGAAATCAAACAAATTATGCAAAAAAAATCAGACTTAAAGAACTTGCACAATTACATAATAACTTCTTAGATGTAGTCATTCTCAGGAACGCATCGCAGCAGTAAGTCGTTAGTTATACAATAATTTTAAGTAAATGGCTCCAATTGCAGTAAAAAAATTGAACAAATCTTCAAAATAAAAATTAATAGTCTCCTATTATTTAAAAAAAAACTTTATTTTAAAGAAAAAAATCCCTTTAAAATATTTTCAACTTACTACAAAAACTATTTAATATCATACACATATGAAATAAATCAATAATATCCCAGATGTTTAGTTTTATTAAGAATTATTTTTTTTGCTTTTTATGGGCTGGCATCGATTTCAAAAATATTTGATTAGGTATGTATTTAATAGGTAGGCTTTAATCACTTAGCCAAAGCACACTGACTTCGAAAATATTTGATTAGGTATGTATAGTAAATGAAAACTACCAATCAGTTATTTTTTACTTTTTAGTGCTTTTGTTTGAAGACGGTTTTTATTTTTTTTGTTAAAAAGTTTTTATTTTTAATATCTTCTATTCCTTTAAGGTCTTCTAGCAAGATTTCCAAATAAGTTTGTAAATAATAATTACATATAAGCGATTTAAATATATAACTTACTAACAATAAATTGATTTTGCACTCTGCCGTTTACAGTTCTACAAACTCTCCAAAAGGTTATCTGTCTGAGATTGTTCGAAGAAATAAGACCGCTATCGTTTGCCCTTTGTAACTTTAAAACTCACCAACATATTATACTCATCTTCGATAAGTACAAATAAGTATTTCGACTCCTGCAAAAAACAACATTGTAACTTGGTATAATGATCATTTTAAAAATGAGCATTAATTTCAATAGACATTTACAGTCCGAAACCAAAGTTATTAAAATACTTAGTTACATTATTGTTCCTTGCAGGTGTCGTCGAAGTATCCATCTGAAGTAAAACTTACCAAATTATGTTCTCTACAATTTTCTACTCCATTGATTTTCAGACTTGTTAAATAAGGCGGAGAATACGGAGAAGCTTGTCCCTTCACCGTAAATGTGAAACTGTCGACATTTTGGATTATTATGAGGTTGAAAATGTTGTATATGTTGTCCTGTGCTGTCGAAAATCTTGCTACGTTATCCTGAAATATAGAGAAGCCGAAATAAAGTACCGTTTTAACATTTAGCTCAGAGATGAGATATTTTCCCGCATTAAAAAGTATTCTATATGTAGACCCGGATAACCAGCTATCGTTATACCAAATATCATCAAAATCTGTCTCGTGATTATGTCATAATGCGTTCCCAGACAGACAGACTAAAATTCTAAAAACTATAGAAACAGCCTCTGTATCGATAATAATTAATAATGTCTATTTCAATAAGATTTTCTAAGATATTTAAATTTACAGATTCGGTTTAGTTAGGATTTTATTATTTGTATACATATTATATATAAATATAAAGAAGAAGAGGTTGTTTTTAAAAGTTCCTAAGCCTGAGTAAAACAAGCGTATGTGTGGCTCAACCATTTTTAATAAAATTTAACACACATGTAACTCTCCAAGACACTGTCATAGTTAATTTTTAATTAAAAAAGCTGTAATTAAAAAAAATGTCATACCATTTACCGTTTGAATATTTAGAACTCAAAAACAATCTGATAGTAAAAGAAACATAAACAAAGGAGAGTGGAGAATTTAGTCTCTATATTTTCTCCGTTAAACATAATATCTCAATATTTTCACCGTTTATCTCGTTAAACCAAATCCATACTAAAGTACTAGCTAAAGTAACTCTGTGTCTCTGTATTTCTTTCTGTTAACTTTTCACGCTTATTCCACTGAACCGATTTAGATGAAATTTGGTATGGATATAATTTGATACCCTGGGGAGGACATAGGATAGTTTTTATCACGGGGATCATCCCTTGACGTGGAAGTTTGTACGGAGAAATAATCATTTGTCACATTAAGGTTATAAAACTCATTATTTCAATGTACATATATACATATACTACATAGTCTATCGATTCCAAACTAACCATTAAAACTAAATATCGCTAGTCTTAGTAATATTATAAATGTGAAAGTTTAGATGTTTGAATATTTAGATGGATGTTTGTTACTCAATCACGGACTGAACGGATCTGGATGTTTGGCACAAAAATAGATAATAGTCTGGAATAGCACATAGGCTTTTTATTTCTAAAAAATGTATGGTTCCCGTGGGGTAGATTTGTGTTTGTTATTTCAGACGCGAATCCGAGCGAAGCGAGGGTGAGCCGCTAGTTATATATAAATATAGAAATAATCATATAGCCAAATATCGTCTAAAACTTAAATATAGCACTTTGAGTTCAAAGATAGAGTCATCAAAGAGGTTAAATAACTAGATAATAACAAGCATGTAATGAGAATAACAAACAATTATGGTTCATGTCGAGCTAAAAGTTATATTGTAGTAGCTAAATTAAATTAAATTTTAAATATATTTACTTCATGCACGCATTTCAGTTTAAAAATATTTTAAGCATTTAAATCCTTACTTTTATGAAAAATGCGTCTGTTGGCTAATTAATATATGGTATGGTACCCAAGCACCGATCGAAGCAAGTGGGAATCACTAGCTATAAATAAATATTATCTGTACATTAAATATTTTTTGGTAAATCTTATTGAAATAGTCATTCATTATTATCGATACAGAGGCCGAATCTATAGTCATAATTTTTTTTGTCTGTCTGTCTGGGAACGCATCACGAGAAAACGACTGAACAGATTTTGATGATATTTGGTATGATGATAGCTGGTTATCTGGGTCAATATATAGGATACTTTTTACTGCGGGAAAATATCTCATCTCTGAGAAATCTATATTAAACGTTAAAACGTAACTAGGGATGAACCCGAGCGGAACGAGAGTTAGCTAGCCGTTAATAAATATCGTCAAAACTAGAACTTTGGTGACTTTTGCATGACTTTACGATGCACAAAACGTCCTGCTAAATTTATTCTCCAAGTAAAGTTTGATTCAAATAGTTTAGTGAGAATCGTACAAAGCGAGGCCAAGCATTGAGTCACAGAAAAATATATATTATACTCAACACAATAATAAAAAATGAAAATGAATACCAATTTATATGTTAAAAATTACTATACCGTCCACACTTTTCTTCATTCAAGTTAATTAATGTTTAGAAACTTGGAAAACCATAATATAGGGCCTATTTGTAGAGATTAAATATCTATGCATATAATAAAAGTTTAACTGACCGCTGTCTGTAAATGGAAGATATTTGAGAAAATCTTTTGGGGGTATTTATGAATGGAATAAAACCTAAAACAATGATTTTTAGAATTAATATCTGTTTGTCTGTGGGCGTGTACACGCTAATCTCAGAAACGGCTTAACCGATTTGTATACGCTTTTTACTAATGTATTATGGTAAACTTGACTTAACATTTAGTATTTGTTTTATTTCAATCTGTTCATAAATATGTGTCAATATGTCAATTAAAAGAATCACGAACCCAAGCGAAGCGAGGGTGAGTCGTTAATAACAAAATAAGATACAACTTGAATATTTTGGAGTCCAAATATATATAAATAGGCAAAGACAAAAGAGCTCAGTATTTTTTCTCCTCTGTTTGTCCATCGTTTTTTTTTTGTAGGTAATGACGAGCTTGTGTAATCGATAAAAATATTTTCCTCATAACTCACCACTAGAATAGCTGCTTGGGAATCAAAAATTAATCGCACATCCGTGGCTATAGTTAAAGGTTTATTTATCGTTATATTATACCCGGATTCCAAACCAGTTTTAAATTTGGACACTATATCCTGATCGGAACATGGGAAAGCTTGAAACACTTCTGACGGACGGACGCTTTTGAAAAATTTAATACCGTTCACACTTAAAACTATTGATAGAACAATGAGTATTCCTTCACTCGTTCCCATTATAAGTTCAATTATTTCTTAAATTTTACACATCTTAACAAAATCTGGTCATTTTCGATTAAATTTTTAGGTTATAAACATTTTTGTTATTGTATCCAGTTCGCGAGTTCTTGACGCGATGGCAATTTAATGTCAATACTACCAACATATCGTTAAAGTTACAGTAAATAATATTAAATTAGATTTTCTTAATGATTCTATTTTTTCTTTACATCTGTAATATCCCAAAAGACCTTACTTCCAAGTTTCAAGTTCGACTCCCATTTTATCAAGGTAAAATAAACTGTGAATTATTTTATTATTGAACAGAGTATTAAATAATTATTTTTTATGGCTTCTATGTATTTGGTCATAATTTACGTCAATAGTTGTTATCTATACTATAATAAAACTGTAGAGGTCGAATTTCTGTACATAGAAAAAAATGCTAAAAATCGAGTCAGGGGGATGTAAGAAGAGAAATAGAAAAAATCCAAATTTTTTTCAATTTGTTTGTTTTTCTGTCTGTTTGTACGGGCTAATCTCCGAAACTGTTGGGCCGATTTAAATGAAATTTTGTACCTTATATTCCCGGTCAACATTTTAGTTTCCTTTTATTTTACAACTTTTCAACTTTTATTTTACTTTTCATCCCGGAAAATTAAAGAGTCCCTGTGGGATAGTTAAAAAACTATAGTAAATTATACAGCTTAGTACACAAAAAATACTGATTGGATTTTAATGAAACTTTACAATAATATAGTTCATACATCAGAATAACAAATAGGCTACTTCGTATCCCGGAAAAAGGTACGGTTCCCGTGGGATAAATTTGTTTTTGTTTGTCCAGAGGTGAACCTGAGCGAAACGAAGGTGAGCCCCGCTAGTGGTAAAATAAATTAGAAAGCACTTTCTAATTTTTTATTAGAAAGTGCTTTTTTATACATAATAACAAGTCTAACTAAATGAGCTACCATTAAGAAAGATATACTCACTACTTATAGCCAACTGAATAAAGTATAATAATTCGACCAATATATTTGACAAAAACTTGTTAAAACTAAAATTCGCTTACTAAAAAGAGATAATATAATCACTAAAATAAAAATCAATAAATTGGTAAAAAATAGATGTCGAATAAAACATTTGTTAAAACAATCAATTTATATAATTACCTGTAACATAAACGAGAATTACTTGTTTTGCATCAATATGTTATGAAGAGGAAAACGTGGTTGTGTATATTTAAATTTAGCTCATAACTTAGTGTAATACGTACTATTTTTACTTGCAGATATAATTATACGTTTTTCTAAACATTATTACTATTAGAAAAGAAATATATTAAATTACAATGTTAAAAGGTTACGGTATTGCTAAAAACATATAAATTATAGTACCTGTTAAAGCTTACGAGCGCCTGATAAATTTTTGAAGCAATTATTTGTCCATTAGAATAATCTGATGTTCTCCTAGCCGATTCCGGCTACGGCGGCCAATCTCATTGAGACTAGCCAACTGCGCAGGAGATATTATAGTGCACAAGTGTACACGCAGACACAAGTGCACTCTCTCCACTCTGTTCCTGTCACTCTCATACTCCGGTGGGACGACTGCTCGACACGACCGGTGAGAGTGAAGGCGCAGGACCGACGGCTTTACGTGCTCTACGAGGCACGGGGGTGAAACACCGCCAACTTCCCAACTCCGGGCAGTTACTGAGACTTACTATACAGAAAGACTCAATTATTAAACTTGGCCTGACCCGGGACTCGAACCCAGGATCTCCGAGTGTGCAGCCGTACATGCTAGCGCCTACACCACCGAGGCAGTTAGAATAATCTATACATATATATTACTAGTGTCTTACCCTACTTCCCTCGTGTTCGTCCCTAGGTACGTTTTGAATAGATATAAATACTTATTAGCCAGCGTTAACCAAATTTTCTTTTAGTTAGAATTTTATTATGTGTATAGATTATATTGATCAAACAAATTAAGTAAGCAATTTGAACAATCTACGTTAAGATGTAGAGCAATATTTAATGTTCAAAAACATTTGATACTTCGCCATATATATATATATATATATATATATATATATATATATATATATATCTTCATTAATTATATAACCACCCTTACAGGAAGAAACAACCCTTAGAGGAATAACCTTATATTTAACAAAATTAGAAAGGAAAATTCTTTTTGTAGATTATAAACAAAAATTATATAAGACACTTAAAAAACAAAGAAAATTTTAAATTTCGACATCTACTGTTATATATAAAACTAGCTAACGATATTTAATAAAACATCACAAAATTATTAAAATAAATTTATTTAAAATCATCAAAAGAAAATATAAAGCATGATTTTTCAATCAATCCATATGGTCTTGAATCCAATCCACGTAGGCTGCAACGTCAGTGAACAGTGTATATTCATTTGGGTCGCACAACGACGTTTCTTATTTAGCCGGACTCAGAGACACGATGCCTCTAACGTAGTAGGCTCCAGCCACCAGTGGATGAACTTCGACCCTAGATACATTTACATAAGGTATGTAAACCATGAAACCACCACCACTGTCGCCATTACAAGCGGATGTTCCTAGAAAACGTCAGAATAGTCAATTATCAATATATGTAATGTATCGGGGGGCACGGTAGTGCCCCCGCCAAGTATATATTTACTAGCCCTATTTACTTTTTAAAGTTTAGTATAGATTTCTCAGCGATTAGATAGGTATTTTCCCGCAGTAAAAAGTATCCTATATGTTGTTGACCCGGATAACCAGCTCTCTCCATACCAAATTTGTGGCTTTTCCGTAATACGGTAACAGACAGACAGCCAAAAATTCTAAAAATTATTGATTCGGCCTCTGTATCGAAAATAACGTCAATTTAATAAGATTTTCCATAAAATTTAATGTACAGATTCGGCTTAGTTGGAATTTTATTATATGTATGGATTTATTAGCTTCTAAAGGTCGCAACTTGATGTTAAACACAATAACTTTCTTCAATAAGTTGACAATAAAATGCAAAAAATATTTTTTAAACGATGCGTTCAAACAAACAAAGGTACAAACCAGCGAACTTTTCAGCTTTATAATATCAGTTTAAACTTATAATTTGCGTGAACAATAATCTAAGTTTAAATCCAAGTAAAATACTTTTGCAAGTCTTAATACCCATATCAATAACGCATATATATCGCTTTCATCTAAATTGATATTTAGTCAGTAGCTGTACAAACAACAAAATGTTTAAAATAGAAAAACATGTATGAATTTTTGAAAGAAGTATTGTTCGGCATTAAAACTTTTGTGCAACCAAGTCAATCAATGTGCAAAAGTAAACACAGAAGCCGTCCGACTTTTGATGAACAACTTTGTTCGAACAGTTTGAACATTTCTATTGGAACCTTTTTTCTAAACTTTTCAATTGATGCACGTATAACTCTTCCGTGCTTATAGAAGCATCAAATTTTGTCACATTATTTTTTACTAGGGGTTGCTCGCAGTTCGACTTGTGTAGTTTATATTTTGCTCCACTTTTAAAGAGTCCTAGTGTAGTATAAATGCAGCTATAAAATACAAAAATAATTGATCAAAACGTATTGATAATTTCAGAAAAAGACTAGATTTAAACTATGTAAATTGTATGTTTCGTATAAAACTTTCGTATACGTATTTGTATTGACTCTCTACATTTCTCACTCATGTCCTAAACATAAACATAAAATACCAATAAGACTTATACTATACCATTGATGCAGTAATATTAATATTTAATATATTAACGGACTGTGCGAATCAAAGCTTCAATTTTGTGTGGCTCACTTTATAACAAAATATTGATATACCAAAACTTACCGTTATGGAATCCAGCACAAAACCTTTTTTTACCCTTCAAAAATGGTGCATAAAGTACGTGATTAGTCATAATACAATCTAGATCTGGTACTATTGGCATAGCTGTTTCAGTAAGTGTTGTGGATAAAGTGTCTGTTTGATCAAATCCCCATCCTGTAACCTAAAAATTTTGTGAAGTTTTAAAACAAAAATGAACGAATTCAAAATGACCTTAAAAATAAGAATTCACTCTTATATGAAAATAAATAAGGACCATATTGGACCCTATTTAATAAAAAAAGATAATAAAAAAATGTTATAAAGATATAAAAAACTCGACTGCATAAAAGCTAACTAAAAAGATGAAAATAATTTCACGAAGAAATATAGTATTATGCAGTCGGAGACACACACGTTTCATCCTTACAACAAGATGTACATTCTCGTAAGTATCAGTATGTCTCCAACTGCATAATACTATATTCCTTCGTGAACTTTTCATCTTTTTAGTTAGCTTTTATGTAGTCGGGTTTTTTAATTTTTATAAAACATATTTTTTATTTACAGCTTTTTAGTTTTTACCAATTAGACATTTTAAGTTATATTTAGCAATTTTTTATCCTAAATTACTTTTAAACATATAAGTTGTATATCTTTTTACTTTTTAAGTATTTTTAAGAAAGAAAATTAGCGAGAATGGTTGTTAACCAACTTTAAATCATTTTATATCCTAAACTGTTATTTAAAATAAAAAATGATGAAAGATGCCTAAAAATTATTTTTAAATATGTATTTAACGATACCCCACTTTACATAGTCAATTTTCATTTTTTTCCACATTATGACGTCCAAAATCGGCCATTTTGATTTTTCCAAATTTTTATACTTTCTATGACATTCGCCCCGTCATGACGAATCAAACGACCACGACGTGTCATTTATTAAAATCGACTCACGCGTTTGGTCTAAATAGTGCCACAAAAGTACAAACCCCAATACATACATACATAAGCTCATAAACACATTACCCTCCTTTGCGTCGCGCAGTCGAATAAAATGCGTTCATATACAAGCACCGACATCATTTAAACACATACGTATATAACGAAAAATATTGCGATATACAAAGCTTTTTGAAGTCGGTTAAAAAGATTTCAATAATAAAGAGAAATTTTATAAAGAAAAATAAAGAAAATTATGAGTGTTTAATACTTTCTTAGATTTACGCGAATATTTGACATTTGAAATAAAACAATCTCTTTGACGATTTTGGTGGATTTATTTTAATTTTTGATTCCCGACGTGACGTTTCGAATGCTTTACAGCAATCATGGTCACGAGAGAGATTCAGTCTGAACTCTAAAAGATTTTATTTAAAATGGTGAGTACTTACTGTACCAATAATCTTTTCATTAGCAGGTAACATTTCTGCTGCCTTGTCGAACCACAAACAAGCTGGTTGTATATACGTGGAAAATTCTATTCGAGTTTTTAGTTTTAGCAGTGCTATATCATTTTTCAACATTTTATGAGTATATTCTTCATGTACTATCACGTCGTATACCTAAAATACAATTTAATAAATGTCTGTAAAATACAGTAGATATTCTTTATTTTGAGTAACACTAAAAACTTAAATTGCTTGTCCAATAATTTGAAGCTAAACATCTAACAATATCAGTTGTTGTTAATGATACAATAAGAAAGTTCAAGTGTTTATTGAATTATGTATATTGTAACAAGAAGAGGGGGGAAATATTAAAAATCTATGGCCGTTGGACAAAATTGTGACATATACGGCTGGAAAATAGGAAGTCCTGAGTTCGAATCTGGATAATTTCGTGGAAGTTCCATCCAATCAGTCTACGAAAATAAGACAATAGGGTCATCAGTGCTTAAATCATAACATGAATGCTTACTATAATGTCTAATAATTATAATAAGTTACCATGACTAAAATTGGTCAGATGGACGACTCTACTTAATTTAGTATTTAATTTTTTTTAAAGAATATATTTTACTCATGTTTTTATATTTAACAATAATATGTAGTTTTAAACATTAAGATAAATAAAATATTCCTTAATAGCACTACCTCTCTTTCTTGGGGCGCAACGTCACCTCCAATCAGGCTGTACTTGCCAAGAACCACACCTAAAAATTCCGGTAACACAGGTTCACCGTTGCTCGTAACACAATGAGCAGCTGTAAAATTATAATTTCTTTATTAAATTAATGGCTAAGCCATCAAAAGTTGAAAAACAGCCGATCATGGTCATTACCATTTCCCAATGACTTGGGCTCGGCACAGTACATCTTCTGTACTGCTGATAGGATTTGGCAAAAGTTTTACGACCGACCGCCTACCTGACACCAACCCTCCTTGGGAAAACAATGGTATTCCCCACAAAAATGTTTGACCGGGATGTAAATCATCAAATCGTCGAATGGTAGCTAACGGATTTTTCATAATTGAGAATTGCATACGCATTGGAAGAATAGATATTGGATATCAGATTTTTGGATATCATTGCAGTTAGGATTTCTTGAAACGAAATGCGTATTTTAGTCTTATGATATAACATAGTAGGTACTGATGTACATAACTCATTACATAACATACAACATAATTATAAAATTAAAGTGTAAAATAATAAGAGAGAAATCAGAAGGACAATGAAAATACAGATTAACAACGTATTAAGTCTTTTTAAACAAGTTGTAAAGCCGAACGGCATACTTATTCAGAAAACTTTTTACATCTCAATCTTTCGTATTTTGGAGAATTCCACAGTATTGTTCTTAGTTCCTATTTTTTAGATTACAATAATAAATAATAATTTTAAAAATCTGATTACTTATAAATTAATATATATGGTAGTTTTAAGGTATATATGCTATGGGCCTCTGTTTACATATTTAAGATCCTTTTGTAAATATTGCCTGAAATAAATGATTAAATAAAAAAAAATAAAAAAAATAAAAAAAAATACACTTATCCTAGAGGTAAATTTGGAAAAAAAGATTATAGTTGGATACTACCTGTTAAAATAAAAAGTTTGGAAACAAGAGTTCCTCCACAAATGTATGTTAAGGAACCTCGTGTTATCTTGAAAATCGCAGCATGCCATGGCCAGTCCCCAGCTTTTGAACGTACTCCGTTAACTATAAGCTGACTGTATAAAGCTTTTCGTCTACCACAAAACAAATCTGGTACACCTGGTCTATGTTCTGCACCAGCTGGATAGTTTTCGAAATAACCCTTAAAGTAAAAGCAACCTTTATCTTATTTCTATAAACGAAATTTAACATTTAACTATCTCGTTTCACGCTGCTTTTATTCGTACTACTCCGAAACGGCTCGACCGATTTTAATTTTTTTTTTTGTATATTTGGTAAATATGAGAAAAGTCGTAAAGTGTTTTTCACCCTCATACCCCCAAATTTTAATAGTGAGTTTAGTAATTTTGAATGAACAATATCCAAATAATTTAATATTAAATAAATCTGGCTTAGTTTAGGAGATAGTAGTTTAACTTTTTTTTTGACACTTTTTGTACAACTTGCTTTACTTACTTTAACCCCTTATATTGTCACTTTATATATTACAATAAATATATATTATATAAATACATAGGGACCAACCCAAGTGAAGCGAGGGTGAGTCGCTATATAACATAAAACAAATGAGGTTTTTTTTTGTAGATTGAACGCGGACAAAGCCGCGAGTTCTGCTAGTAAGTTTATAATATTTTTAGCATGGATAACGTACCAATTTTGGTTCTTTGCAGTTTTCCACATTTTTTATTTTAACGCTTATCAGATAGGGCGGGAAAAAGATAATTTGTCCTTTAACCCTGAAAGAAACGTTATCTGTATTGTTAAGGATGGTAATTTTAAATACGTTATCCCTTAATGTTGTCAATCTTGCTACACTTTTGTCCTGCAAAATAAGAGACGTGTTATTTATTATAACTAAATTTTATAAAAGGTAAACTGTATTCGTGTCTGATTTTATACAGAGATCAATATGATCTCGTTCCGAGGACACGAATTGGATCAAATCGGAATATATAAAAAATTAAGCAATATAAATTGTACTATATGAGTTAATTTATACAGTTAATTTTAAATTAGCTCGCTAAATTTTTCGGATCTTTTTTCCGGATTTTACCTCAACAATATGTTTATCAGACGCGCATTTCGTACCTATTGTTAAATATAAATATATAACATAAACGTTAAGGAAAATGTTTAGATAAATCAATAAAATCTGATAATTTTTATTTCATTGTGGTAATTTATCCTCGACGAACAGGATTCTCATCTTTGATTAAAGGTCACGTGACGGTCAGAATAATGTACAATAACATAGTTGGAATATAACCGTAATTATATTGCATTTTATTTGATCGTAGCATCGCTTTACAAAGAAAAAAGTAGTAAGAATACTTTTAAAAAGTACAACGTAAGAATTTTTCTTAAGATTTTTTTTATATAGTACTAGCTCACCCTTCGCTTGGGTTCGCCTCTAAAAAAACAAAAACAAATCTATCCCACGGGAATCGTACATTTTCCGGAACAAAAAGTAGCCTATATGCTATTCTGATGTATTATTGTAAAGTTTCATTAAAATCCCTTCAGTAGTTTTTGCGTGAAAGAGTAACAAACATCCATACATCCAGACATCCATACATACAAACTTTCCAATTTATAATATTACTAGGATTTAATATGAAAAGTTTCATAAAATATTCTTCTTCAATAAGCTTACTGATAGAAATAGAGTAATTTAATACTAAAAGACGAAATGAGTTGGACTTAAGTGAAAGATATTATGGACACTTGAAAACTTTTACTAGGAACATAGTTTATTAAGAAAATAAGAAAGTTTTCCACATATTTATCTAACAAGTTACTAAGAAATATGGTATCTAAGTAGCTCAAACGACTCTTCTTTCAAGAATTTGTAAATTATTATTCTTGGCCCTATGAAAGTCTATGGCTCATATCTAATAACTGAACTGAAAACCTGTTCTTTCTAACTAACCTTATAAATGTCATCCCATTAATATTATAAGTGCGAAAGTTTCGATGGATGTTTGTTACTCAATCACGCCAGAATAGCTGAACGGATCTGGATAAAAGGGACAGAGATAGATTATAGTTTGGAATAGCACATAGGTTTTTATCCCGGAAATGTACGGTTCCCGTGGGATAGATTTGTTTTTGTTTTTCACTAGAGACAAACCCGAGCGAAGTGAAGGTGAGTTGCTAGTCAATCATAAAAATATCAATCGACCATATTAGTTAAAACTAGCGACTCACCCTCGCTTCGCTCGGGTTCGTCCCTAGGTGTATACGTTTTAATTTTTTTGAGCGAAACCCTAATTCTTTTACCAAAATAAAAGTAGTCTATGTTACTTCCTATAATATCAGCTATCTTCCAGTGAAAGTCCCGTCAATATCAGTCCAGCCGTTTCAGAGATTATCCGAAACAAACTAACAGACAGACAAAAATTTAAAAAATGTGTTTTTCTTGTAAGTACCATATATAATTTCATATGCATATAGTAAAACTCTGTTATTTTGACATTACAAACAGACACTTCAATTTTATTTATCTGTATAGATAATAAGGCCAGAGAGCTGATCTGATGATATACACAGTTATAAGGACCCCGCCTCTCAATATTGTTTCCTTGTTCGATGAACAAGAAATTATTAACCTTAAAGAATTTATAGAACAAAAAAGACAGAAAGATAATTGCTAAATTTTATAAAAAGTACTTATTATTAAAAAATATATAAGTACTTACCACAGTTACGTATGCTTCAGATTCAAATTTTAATTTTATGGCAGTGTTTGCTGGCAGCTTACGATTTATAGTAACTTTGTACCCATCCCAAAATCCAGGCTCAAAAGAAGTTTCAATATAATCTACACCAGTGCAAGGCTTTTCAGTAAAAGTAGGATATGATATCATTTGATGACAACGAACGAGTCGTACTACTAGCAAAATCAAAATAATGCGCATTATAATGGATTTGGTATCAACAAACATTAATAATATGTGGAATATTTTCGCTTTATTATTTAATATAATCAAACTCGTGTATATTATGAGATGTGAAGATGTACTACGAGGCTTGCGTCTTAAAGTCATAGGGTAACATTGCTATGTTGCAGAGAAATGTTGAAAATTGTCTATTAAATAGTTGTTCAATTTTTAATAATTAAATATTGATTGAAGGTGGAATCTTATTTTCTTCTAGTTTTTTCAACGTCTCTTGGTATTTTCATAAAAAGTAAATATATTCATCTAAAATATAAGTTAACATCATTTAATTTTTTTTATGAATAAATACTTACTATTTATTAAGTATTAAAAGTCATCTTAAAAATATATATATACGCGATTTCTCACATTCGTCTATTTAAATAGGCTACTACCTACGCACAAAATGATGATCTGTCATAATATGGCACTACACAGTGCAATAAGCTCACTATATATAGTGTATAAGCTATAACTTTGTATTTACTTGATGACTAATTTAAAAGAAACTACACAATATTACAAACTTCTTAACTTCAATAATATATTTCCTGTCTTCTCTTTAAATACTAATGAGTAGTGTTATCTAAAAATAAGTTCAGACCCAATTTTGATAAAATAACCCTGTAATAAATTATACCACGGTAATGGTTTATGTTTAATAAATAAATATGTCAGGCTACGAGGCTTGTGCTATGGATACCAGATAGTGGATACACTACATGGACTGGACTGGAGTACAAACATTCGTGCTCATCAGACAAATGAATGCCCCCAGCGGGACTCGACCGCGACCGCTGGCATAGCAAGTAGAGTCACGACAAACTAAGCCAAACTAAGTTTGTCAAAAAGTATGTGCAGTGCATAGACTACCTAAGCTAAAAAACAAATTAATTACCTACCTATTAAAGACAAAGATAATAAAGTCTGTATTTATTAGCTTCACGTTAATTTTTCATATGTAAGTCGCTTATTAGACAAGACAACAATATTTATAGACATTTTGGCAAAAGTCTTATTAATTATTTTGTAGACAGCAAAAATTATTGATAATCTCTTTGGTTTTTGGAATTTGGTTAAAAAGCTTAAGTCAGTCTTGAAAACCCGTTTAAATTGCTATGCTCGTATTTTATTGTATTTCTGGCCTGGCTAAAGATATTGCAGATTTTTATTAACCTTCAAAATTATATAGATTATGGGATCACCATCTAAACCTCCTAAACAGTAAAAATAAATAAATAAATCACTTGATATATTATATTTATTTTATTTTTTGCCATTTATCAAGAAAAATTTCTAGCGGTTCACAGGTCTTTGAGTAAAATGGCTCTAATCTACAAAGAGAAGGACATGACTAAATGATAAGTGTTCCGATTTGCCTTTTACCTACGAAACCTTAAACACTTAACGAAAATATCAAAATCTACAACATATCTGAACTTCGAATCGTTTTCTTCACAATCCATTTTGAACTTGCCATTTAAACAATTGAAGTCTAAAATTAAAAATGCATTACTGAATAAGGCTTATTATACTGTCACGGAATACTTCATAGATATCAATGGGTGGAACTAATTTCTGGTTGGGTCTCACGTAGGATAGATAGATAATTATTATTGTCTTACAATATTGTACACAATTATTATTTCAAAAGAGCTACTGTTGAGTTTCTCGCCGGTTCTTCTCAACAGAAAACTCCATTCCGAGCCGGTGGTAGCTTCCTCGCGGATACTACACTGATAGCCCGAGAGCTCGTAACGAATTTTGGGAAGGTCCTTTTGGCAAGTTGAAATTGTGAAAAAATATAATTTCGTGAATTGGCGAGTCTAGTCCCGCGAGTCTGGTATAGCTTTAGCGGTTATTTCGTTACTGCGCAGTATATAATATTTGCAAAAAAATATCCATAAAAACATATATTTGGCAACTTGATTTTTATTTAATCTTTTAATTTAGTTTTCATATAATTTAAAAAATAAGAACCCCAGACGTTTTTGTCGGCTATAAAGTATTGCCAGACCTCTCCAAAGATTCATTTTTTTTATTCCAAAAAATATACTTTTGGCAATCTGAAATTTTAATCACGTATTTATTGAGTAATTTTTAATGATACTTGCAAATCGCCAGACGAATTCACCGGTTATAAACCATTCCCAGACGTAAATAAAGTTTACAAATTAGTACTACAAAAAAGTCTTATGCGTAGCCATAGGTGCGAGAAAGATAGCTTATCGAGGTATGCCAGCAGCTGATGGGGGCCCAAGGTCCTCGCGCTGTGATTGGTTATCGAGAAACCGCACGTTTCGAGTACGGTTCGGGCTCTGCGTTCAGAACATAGTATTTTAGAGTAGTTTATTAGGGTTCCGTACCCAAAGGGTAAAACGGGACCCTATTACTAAGACTCCGCTGTCCGTCCGTCTGTCTATCCGTCCGTGACCAGGCTGTATCTCATGAACCGTGATAGTTAAGCAGTTGAAATTTTCACAGATGTTGTATTTCTGTTACCGCTATAACAACAAATACAAAACAATACAATAAAATAAATATTTAAGGGGGCTCCCATACAACAAACGTGTTTTTTTTGCTGTTTTTATAGATAATGGTAAGAAACTCTTCATGCGCAAGTTTTTATTTTTTTCTTAAAATTGAGAATTAATTAAAAATGTATAAAACAATAATTACGCTTACACAATATACAATACAATTAGTAAATATATTTTTGGCACCTCGATTATTGTTTAATATTTTAATTTAGGACTCGCGCATGAAGGGTTTCGTACCATTATCTATCTATAAAAATAGCAAAAAAATCACGTTTGTTGTATGGGAGCCCCCCAAAGCCCCAAAATTTGTCGCCAGCTCTCGGAATATCACATTTAATTTTAATTTAAAATGTAAATATGACGATTCAAAAGAGCTTCTAAAAGCCTATTTGAAAAAACTTAAAAAAATAACTAAACGTTTTCATTTAGAATTCCCAACCAACGTGCGTTCACCTTGTCGTGGTGGGGGGGCTCAGTTGTGCCCGGCAATCCAACCGGGCGCGAAGCTAAGAAACGCACAGGGAGGTTGCCCACTTCGATGGGCGGTGGGAGGTGGCCCTCTTCGGGGGGCGGTGTACCATGCGGGTTGCTCCTGGTACTTCTCTGATAGCAAAGTAGACTGTGGAGCAACCCCATGGTTGTGGTGGTCTGCTTCGGCAGACCTGCCGTCGGGGCGTCGTAGTTGAATGCGTAAGCGATCCTGCGACGCCCCATTAAGATGCGGGAAGGTTTTGTTGGGTTTTAGTGGGTAGTACTGGCTGTATTACACCGGTGAGTCCCACACGTCGTGCGTAAATGCATTTCCCAACGTTAAAAAAAAAAAAAAAAAAAATGTTTTCATTTAGAATCCTTTCCTTTCATTTAGAAACCTTCAAAGACCACTACCAGATATTTTCAAAGTCAGTGCCAGCCGATGCAAAGCAAATCTATCTGTCTAATATAATATTTCGATACATAAAACACATACTTACCTATAAGATATTCATATCTTAAAATATTGTTGGCTGGCACCGACTTCGAAAATATCTGAATCAAATGAAATGATTCACTCCAAGACATTAATTAGAGCCTACGACAAAAGGTTTAACAATCTTATCCTAGCGCTAAACAGAAAAACCTTACGAATACTGGTAAGGGCCTTTACTGGACACTGTTGCTTAAATAAGCACATGTTCAATTTGTGGCTGAGCGAAACGCGAACCTGCAGAATATGCAGGGAGGCAGACGAAACGCCACTTCATCTTCTGTGGGAATGTGGACCGTTCATGCACAAACGCAGTATTCATCTAGGAAAATTTTTTTTAAGCCTAGATGAAATAAAAGAGTGTTACCCAAAAACAAGTCCTGCAGTTCTTAATATCAGCAGGGTTTCGTGGTTCACTCTAGTATAAAATAGCGGCGATCACAATAGACCAGAAATGGTCGCAGTGACACGTAATAGCCGGAAAACAGAAATAAAAAAAAAACAATTTATTAAAAAATGAAATTATTGTTGATTTAAAAAAACCGCTTGGCCGATTTCGATAAAATTTATATGGGACCACCTGGGAAGTATACCCTTTGAAACAAAAAAAATCCAAATCGGTTCAGGCGTCTTCGAGTAATCGGTGAACATACATAAAATAAAATATTCCGACGAATTGAGAACCTCCTCCTTTCTGCAAGTCGATTAATAAAGTATATTTTTATTTGATTTTGATTTGATTTGAAACTCCTAGACTGATGATTAATTGTTATTGCTGTGCATTATAATCGTTAATGTGAATATACTCGTAGGTACTATAAGAAAACTTGCCATTCAAAAATTATCGCACTTCTTGGTCGCACTCCTTCAGGGCTATTAGTATCAAGTATATAGGCTGCTCATAAACGTATAATATTATTTTAAAATAATACTTCATAGTTATTAAAAAATACTAACTAGATATATTTGGTTTTTTTTTTGGTAAATTCAGTTGTAGTAATTTACACAGTTTTGAGTTCAACGTGAATATGATTGTCACTGGATTGCGAATGTTACTGGTGTTTCTTTCATTTGGTAAGTTTTGCATTTTTTATTTGTTAAATAAAGGGGAGAAAACATTTCAGAAAGACAAATTAGAAATAATAGATTTATAATATCTAACGAAAAAAGTGACATTTCAAAGGATAAATTTAAATTCACTAGTGACGTACATTTAATAAATAATTCATTACTTTTTGCGTTTTTCAGGATAAGTCTCTATGCTTTTAAAAATACAGCGGATACTACCTTATCACGAGCACTTTCATTAAATTCTTATATCACAAATGCGGTTTACCGCAGCTCTGCATACGTTGTTTAATTACGTATACAATAATTTTATTCTCTTAACTTAGCCCTCATGCTTAGAATTCATGCACTTACGTTATAAGTCCGTCATTTGATCAGGTCATTTCATATACCTAAAAATTTAGCTCATCCAAAAGATCAGGAAGGAATGTGTATGACAGACAGACACACGGGTGACCCTATTAGAATACAGTTTTTTCCTTATGATAAATGAATATATAATTTTTATAACATATGCAATCCAAATTTTATTGTCAAATTATGATGTAATTTTAATATATAGCTAACAGTGGCGAAGCGTTCATACAATACGTCTTACCTTAAAAATATTATTTATTTTAGATGCAACCATGATTTTCTACTTAAGTAGGTACTTTGGCTTTTAAGTATGCCACGAGACCGGCCTAACAAAAACTGAAAAAAATATTTTATATCCGCTGCATAAAATGCCTGCGTGTAAGACCAGTCTTGTGACTTTTTGTACTCAAACTGCATCTGGCCTCACATTAATAAATAGGACATTATGGCAACAAACAATATTTCGAGTTGATTAATCGTTTTTCCGTAAAAAATGTATGGGAAAAGTTTTAGCCGATTTCTGTCATTTCTAGTACTCATACCTTAAATGATCCCATAGCGTCTTTTGATCCCTACATGAAATAGGATCGATTGACATAAAAAAAGGTTTTTTGGTATTTCAGCATTTTTTTCGCTAGCTGTACATTTTTTCCAAAATCTTTAAATGCAGTTCAGAATATCTCAAAAAGTTATGGATGGTCCCCTAGGAACGTTTTCTTGTAACTATATCAGTTAAGGTACCTGCCCTTACTGTTCCGTCTCAAAAATCCACCCTGTATATGTGACAAACTTAATCGGCAAAACCTTATTTTAAATAAAACTATTTTTTCGGATTATTTCGCGGATTTATTTTAATTTTTGTTTCCCGACGGGAGAACCGTGACCGTTATTGCTGTAAAGCATTCGAAACGTCGGGAAACAAAAATCATAATAATTCGCCGCAATAATCCGAAAAGATAGTTTTATCAAAAATGAAAAATATTCGCGTAAATCTAAGAAAGCTTTAAGCAATACCTTATTTATACAAACTTTGATCGAAATCATTTAAGCCGTTTCCGAGATACGCGAAATAAAATAAACATATAAGAATTGCTCATTTTTTATTATAAGATTTATTTTTGACTTTCTAATTATACTTCCTGATAACCTTGCTGTGTTATTCACATACATGTCTCTGAAAGCATAATAATCAACTTGATTCAATCTTTATATTTTTTAATTTAATTTTTTTTTTACATGACGCATAAGAGACGTAATTACTGATTGGAAAGTTTTTATTTACCTACAAGTTTTTATTTGCCTCAAAGTTTTTATACACCTAATCTGATATTTTCGAAGTCGGTGTGCTTTGATTTGTATCGGCTGGCACCGACTTTTGTTTCATCTCATTAGTAATTTGCTCCTTAAAAATCATTATAATATAAAAAGTAAAAAGGTCAACCGAAAAGTCTGCAATATCATATGTCTATCTCCTCAGGTACACGCGCAATAACTATTTTATAAGAAGCGGGTTCAAATCCGGTTCTCGCATCCCTGATATTTTCATGTGCGAATCACTTTCAACATTATTACCAATTCGTAAGGAAACCTGCATGTCTGAGAGAACCTAGCTAATTATAGAAAGATATGTGAAGTCCGCCAACTAACACTTGGCTAGCGTGGTGGACTACGGCCCCTCATTTTGAAGCGAAACCTATGCCCAGCAGTTGAACGTTAAAAAATGTTAGAGTATCTAAATCATCTTAGAATAAATTCTTTCTCTGCTTACAGGTGAAATTTTATCCCAAAATATAAATGTTATTGTTACCAAAGATGATCTACAAAAAGTACCCCCTGATATATGTACTGGAAGCAAGCGAATATCTCATATGGATTTATTAATAAAAAATATAATATACGAAGAATGGGACCCTGATGAGAACATTTGTTTGGAAAAGATATTAAATATTATGCACAATGTTAAGAATTCTACATTATGGGCGACATGGAGTATGTATATGATACTGTTTATTTATTTTATTACGGGAAAGCCACTGTAGTACCCTTTGTTGACTGCCTGACAGGCTCTGACAGACTGATTTGTTTTTCCTGTTTAAAAGGGACAAACATTTTTTACATCTAGGATAAAGTCTAAACATCGTTTATTGATTTGTAAATATGTGATACTTAATATGAATGATGTAATTTGCTACCTAAAAATCATTACAACGTAAAAATCTTCATTTTCATTGTCATAAAACAATTTTTACGGTTATTTTCACGTATTATTTAGATTTTTGATCCTTGGCGATTCCTGGGATGTATTATTTCGTGAGTCAATCAAAGTCTAACGGCTAAATCTCTCCTATTACCAAGATTACTGTAAAGCATACAAAACTTCTGCGATACTGAAAAAATCAAGGGTAAAAATAGTTTTTCCCATGTCAAATATGCATCTAACCGAAGAAAGTGTTGATTATTTTCAGTTTGGGATGCAATGCAAAGCCCTACAGGCGTGTTCTTCGGTGCGAAATATCAGTTTGGCAACTACGATCAATGTATGAAAGCTCCGTGGCTAGAAACTCATCCTAAATATCGCACTCAGTACTGCCTCGTTGATGTTACACTAGCTAGAGCAGAGTTGAAAGAAATATCAGTCGATCCTGAAAGTTCCGTAGAAGTTTATATTAATGTTAGTGTTTTTAGTACAGTTACTAATATGATGTTGTTATTTTGAATGTTATTGTAAGTAAAACTACTATAATAACACATTGGTTAGAGCCTGGAATCCAAACTAATATTATAAATGTGAAAGTGTGTTTGTTTGTTTGTTTTTTTCTTTATCCTTCTTTCACGTCGAATAGAAGTAATGGCTGGGCGTGATTTTGTGTGTGGTGATTGTCAGAGGGCTACTTTTAACCGCGGGAGATTATCTCATGCCCACAGGAAAACACGTTATAATACAACCCAAAAAATTATTTATGATCACAATTAATTGAAACTTGGTATTAATGCTCTTCAATATCTATATATATAAAAGAAAGTCGTGTTAGTTACTTCGCTTATAACTCAAGAACGGCTGAACCGATTTAGCTGAAAATTGGCAGGGAGGTAGTTTAGAGCCAGGAGAAGGACATAGGATACTTTTTATCCCGTTCGACCGCGTTCCAATTTTTATGATATTTTAATTTTTGGATTTCTCTTAGTCCGGAATAGGTAAGTATTAAAACATATAATTAAAATGTGAGAAAGAAAGATTTTTTCTTTTTATATCTATTTAAAACGTACCTAGCGACGAACCCGAGCGAAGCGAGGGTGAGCCGCTAGTAATTAAATAAATACATGTTTTATCATTTTTCGAAATTCATCCCATAAGGGAGTAAAATAGGGCTTAAAGTTTGTATGAAACCTACTTTTTTTAGTTTTTTAGTAGTTTTAGCTCGAACGAAGCCGCGGTTTCTGCTAGTAATATTACAATTTAGCGGTGTATAATATCATTCCCGTCGCAGTGACCGCATTGTTAAGTGGCTGCGACTTGGACAGTTAAATACTTACTACATATACTTTATCTAGCTAGCGACTTACCTTCGCTCAGCTTGCGTCCATAGGGGTCTATTGTCTAATATTTTATTGTATATCATTTTTTTTAGGCAGGGTACGCCAATGAAGCAACTCACTTTTTCTGATTTCAATTAAAACTATTTAATTTTTGACAGAAAAACCCATTTTCAATAAGCTTCATTACAAACATGGTCAAAGGAGTGCCCAAGGTTTTACATGTTTCAAATGTAACGCAATCGAAACGTCGAAAACAAAAATAATAGATAAAACCGCAACAAACTCTGAAAAGATAGTTTCATTTCATAATTGCCTTGCCTCTACAAATGTTACATATACACGTTAATAATTTTACATAGACTCGTGAGTTTTGATAATTACCATTTATATTTTACAGTCCATTTCGAAACATGGTGTGACATTTAACACATTATCGTTGGGAGTGTGCTTGCCGTATGAATGTCGATCGAAATCCATTAGGAAATTCGTCAAAGTTCTCTACGAGAACGGCCATCTTGGAAACGCCGTACCGGAAGTGGATATAGCCGTCGACCACTGCCAAGTTGCCGGTGCTTCCGCCGAATATTCCAGAGAGTTCTATATTGTAGTGTAAGTTCTAGAAACTTTTATTATGTGTAGTAGTGAACATTATGTACAAATATACTTAATTATATATACAAAACAAATGTACAGTTTTTTCATTATGTTTTTACTTAATTACTGTATAAGTAATGTCCGCCTTTTTAGTAGGCATGGAACATTTCACGAGTAGCAAGTGAAAAATCACATGAAATGCGTTATCATACGTCACACCTGCTACTTAAATTCACAGTGACTGCTACAAATCACCATAAACTTTATAGTCGATTTTTGCCTCTTCGGCTTGTGCAAATCGGCAGATTATTGAATTGGACACTTTTCAGGATGTGACTAGCCTACCACACCTTTATCTGACGGTTTCAAGTATTTCTACCTTATCAAAACATTTTTTAAATATTTTAATCGGCTTCTCTAGACGCGCCCCTTTATATAGAAGACTTCTATTATGGTGAAAGTACTCAATAGAGTGCAAGGTAACCTCTTTTATGTTAATCTGCCGCGCTCGAGTAACTACAGAAAATCCCCTCTTGGGCTCCCCTACTAATACTTCATTTTAATAGCAATAATATAAAGTGATATAAAGTGTGACACCAGACCGTCGAAATAAAAAATCATTGCCTGTGAAAAGTAGCAAGTGAAATCACGTGAAAAATATACGTAATTTTATCATATGATAATGATTTAAAAGTAGCAATCATTTCCATGCTTACTTTTTAGTTAGTTTTATTTAAAAAAAAAATAAGTTTTTATTTTTTCATTTTTAGTGTAGACGTAATAAGCAGGTATTTTGTAAGAAAAAAGTTTTTTAATAACATATTTGATTAAGCAATTTATTTAAAAAAATATATTTATTGTTGATTTTTTTAAAAACCGCTCTACCGATTTCGATAAAATTTATATGGGACCACCTGGGAAGCATACCCTTTGAAACAAAAAAAAATACATAAAAAAAAGGAAAAAAAAGATTCCGACGAATTGATAACCTCCTCCTTTTTGGAAGTCGGTTAAACAGAATGAAGAGGCACTAATTGCTTACATGCTGATGGCATGCAGTTTGTCACCCCTGCCGCATATACTCATATAAAAAAACGATTATTGTACAATATACTTGCATGCCAGCAATGTATACATAATACATATTATGCCTGAAGTCAGCATGTACACTGTGCAGCTCTCTATATTTTTAATAGTACATTAAATAAAAAAGAAAACAAGCTTTCATCTTTCAAATTATTATTTTTTTCTAAATTTTTTCAGAACTATTTTCTCAACAATCATTTTTTTAATTATATTAGGCAATATAATTGGTTATGAAGAGTCTAAAATTGCCAATTCTTTAGGTAAGTTTCTTTATCTACGAAAACCTATTATATGATATATGCTAGTAATGTGCTATAGGCAGCACGAGCTATTTATAATGATTACTTTGATTTTCTTGATGATTGATACTAATATCCTACGAAAAAAATATTATACTGTCAAGCGAATAAACTATTGCTAAACAAAACTACAAATCAATGAAAAGCACAAACTACAACTAAAAACTTTTTAACAAAAAAATAAAGACCGACTTCAAACAAAAGCACTAAAAAGTAAAAAGTAACTGTTTGGTAGTTTCATTTACTATACATACCTAATCAAATATTTTCGAAGTCGGTGTGCTTTGACTAATTAATTAAAGTCTACATATTAAATACATACCTAATCAAATATTTTCGAAATCGGTGCCAGCCCATACAAAGCAAAGCACACCGACTTTGCTACTACTCTCTGTACTTACTACTGTGTACTGTGAATTATTATAACGTGTTAGGCTTGTCAAATCAAACAAAATAAGCCCAAACTCAAAGTATCCACCTTCTGGCCTTACCATCAGATCAGGTCAATAATACCGAACCACTGTACTATCAACGGAAATAGAAACACTTGCAAAGTTTCAAGTCAATATGACAATTAGAAGTAGGGTAAATTCATCATTAGCTATTTTTCCACCCTTAGGGGTGGTATTTTTCTGAAATTTTAATGGGACCAATCTGGAAGTATACACTTTCAAACAAAACAAAAATTGTCCAAATCGGTTAATAAATGACGGAGTTCTGAGGAAACTAACATAAAAAAAATACAGCCGAATTGGGAACCTCCTCCTTTTTGAGGAAGTCCGTTGAAAATTAACTAAACCTGAGATATATACTGTATTAGTAAAATTCGTACTTAATATTTAAAAAAAATGTTCTATGACTGCTGCAAAATTTTCATACATTTAATTATTATAAAGTTTTTATCAAAACTTCATGTTTTTATTAAAATAAACCTTATATCATCGATATAAGTCCGTACATCGCATTTAGGTATAATTTTTCTACAAATTAGGTCTAACACACTATTTCTATTATAGTAGATTAAAAATAATATTAGGTCCTACAGGTAGATGGATCGCCGCCGTAGGCTTAGATGAATGATGTCTGGTTTTTCATGCCTTTATTTTACTAAGATGAAGGTAGTAATAAAATATTACATTCTTAAGATGAATCACTGATACTATATCGAACTAAATTACTATTAAATATCCGATCAATATTGCAAAGTAGTTTACGGTTTCATTAATAAAAGTTAAACGAGATTTTCCTACGAATTATTCGCTATAGTTTTATAAAACTTAAAAATACGCTTTTGATCAACAATAACGTTATTAAAAAGAACAAAAGGTACTGTCTAATTGGGTATTTCACGTTAGAGCAAACGCAATTTTGTTGATGTTAAACATGTCCAATTTGCAATAAATATTTTTAATTCCAGTAAATAAACTTCTAAAAGCAGCTTGTATGGAAAGGAATCTATTACATTTGAATAAATCTAGTGAAGACGACATAAGAGTGATGCACGGAATGAGATCTATTTCTTCCGGGATAGTGGTGGGCTTGCACGTGTGGTTTGTTAGTGTTTACATAGTGCCTGGTAATAGCTTGCAAATTGATATGGTAAGTTTTGCTTGAGAACAAATATCTAATAAAACCTTAATTGGAATGTATGTATGTACATATGAAGTAGAAGTTACATTACAAACTATTAGTGGTAGAAAGTTTGTGCCTGTTTTAAAGGAAATTGTAATTTTAGTGCATTTAAATTTTACCATACATTTATTAAATTATGTATGTAGGTGACATTTTGTTACGCGCTTTATGAAATTTAAGACTGGTACCTTTCAGGGTCTTTCCACATGGTGATTGTTTGTTAGATCCAAAAATTGATTTTCTCATCGCTAAAGGGTTATGGCTTTTTAAAAACGTAGAAATCTAAAGACACTAGGTCTGATGATCATGGGAGGAAGAAAGTTCTAATCGAGCTCGATCCACTTTTGCTGAGTTGTCAAAAATACAGGTTGTACTTAAAGCTTAGCTGTCTGGCTATCCTGAAATTGGTCGGCGTGAGTGAAAAACGAGTAGGAGGGTTCAATTTTTTATTTAGTTGAGAAAAGTACCATGGAACTCATAGAAGCGCCATAATATGAAGCGTTCAGATTTTCCTCCCTCCACGACCGTGAAAAAAGTTCCTTGCGAATGCTAAAAAGAGTACTTTAATATAATTATTTTTTTTAACTTTTAGCAAAATTTAGCCTTTACATATTTTTCAGGATATAGAAAAATACAAATTGTCAAGGTTCTACCACGTAGAACTTGTAGTGGACACATTCCTTATGATGTCTGGACTATTGCTAATTAAAGGTGTAATGGCGAGTGGAAATATCAACCCGTTTGTATGGCTCATTAAACGATATTTAAGGTAAGATATTAATTTTGATGAACCAACACTTATTTTATATGCAAAGTATAAACCAACCTAATAACTAACCTAACCTAACAATATTTAAATTTCTGTCCTTTTTTCTGTTTTTTTCGATACAAAGCGTAGTTTTTTTTTAGTAAAAAGATTTTTTATGAAAACATACAATATATTGTACTCATATACATTATACATGTAGAACAATTGGCATTTCTATATAAAAATGGTCTAGTAACTTGTTTGTACATCCAGGTTTCAAAATCCGGGTCGGGTCAACTTTCGTTGATGAGTTTTTCTATCAAGTTCAAGAAATTCTTAGTAACGTTCGGTCCTAAGATTAATTTCATTGACTTGCGCCTTTTAATTAAGCTCGTATAACATATTTCAGAGTAAGTATTAAAACTAAAGATTTTGTTACAGACTTCTTTGGATAACGTCAGTATTCCTTTTATTCACCGCCAAAATACTCATTTATGCCGGCTCTGGGCCTATGTGGCCGAAGTTGTCTTCAATAGAAGTTACCACGTGCAATAAAAATTGGTGGCTGAATTTGTTAATGCTCGGAAATTATATCGATACAGCTAATACAGTACGTACAAGCCTCTTTTGTATTCTAAATAAGATGGATTTACTCATTTGAGAATAAGTTAGAAAAATATACTCTGACCCTTATAATAATCTTCTACTAAACTAGATCTGGATAAGGTTCCAGAGAAAGTTCAATGAAAATCGGTTCATCAGATCAATGATTACAAACAAACACACATTTTTTGTGTCAATTAGAAAATACGAGGGGAATGAGGCCATAGATCCATGGCCTGACCCCCATCGTATAGAAGGGAGGCCGGCGCTCAACAGTGAGACGTTAATAAAGGCTAAATACATACATACACACATACTTATAATATAGATATAATGCAAGTAACTACATAATACCTAAGCTTACTATCTCATACATCGAATAGCTATTTCGAAATCACAAATATTACTACAGTTTCTTTCAGCACAGAGTTTTCTTTAATGCGATGTAAATCGAGCTATAGTCCACCACGCTGACCAAGTGCGGGTTAGCGAATTTTATATGTTTTCCTTTACACTAAAGCAAGTGGTATACGTCAATTTATTAATTACTAGCGACTCGCCCTTGCTTCGCTCGGGTTCGTCCCTACTTACAATTTAACGTTTAGTATAAATTTCTCAGAGATGAGATATTTTCCCGCAGTAAAAATTATCCTAAATGTTGACCCGGATAACCAGCTATCATCATACCAAATTTCTTCAAAATCTCTCCAGTCGTTTTTCCGTGGTGCGGTCACAGGCAGACAGACAGACAAACAGACAGACAGAAAGACAATTAGACAGACAGACAAATATTCTAAAAACTATAGATTCGATAATCTTCTCTTATCGATAATAATGTCTATTTCGATAAAGTTTTCTAAAAAATATTTAACGTACAGATTCGGCTTAGTCAGAATTTTATTATTTGTATCGATAAACTTTCATATATTAAAAACACTTTTCCAGTGTTACCCAATATTATGGACAGTGCCCTGCGATTTCCATTTGTCTGCCGTCGGAATAATGATACATTGGATTTTCACCAAAAACAAACGTATCGGAATGCTGGTTTTCAGTACATTATCTTTCTTAGCTTTGATTATGCCTGGCGTGATCACGTATAAAAGAAAACTACCAGCAGCACCCAACTTTGATGTAACGTAAGTAAAATATTTTTGTTAGTAATTTTCCAGTTTGTATCTTAAATTCTATTTAATTTTGAGTGTTCACTAGCTTTCAACTGTGGCTTTGTTTGCATATGTGTCTCTTTTTAATTTTAAGCACTGTCACTAAGCACAATATTTTATTTCTGAATAAAATTTATGTTTAATCGCTCCACGACCGCGGCCACGTCGGCGTGTCAGTTAGCAATAGATTTTTCCGAAATTTAATTAATTTCTTAGAAATATACCTGGAGGTGAATCTAATTTCACCATGTAAATACAACGCGAAACTACCTTCGCATTGGTGCTGTATATCTATCATATATGGAGCACGAGCCTCTGTTTTTTTGAAGATTTCATGACACTAAATATATTACGAAACAATTGATACGTATGTTGAAATGAAATTAGATTTGTTTAAATAAATTAAATTTCATCGCGGTAATACTAATTATGTAACGTAAGTTCATTTAAATTTTTAACAATGAGAATCATGTTGCATATAAAAAGGAAAAAAACCACGGTTACTCGCATCATGCGCACAAAAAAAATAGATATTCAGATTGGAATTCTAATTGTATCGTAAAATATAATTGCTCGTATTTTAATACTGCACCCCCGTTATAATATTACCATCCCTACTAATATTATAAAGAAAGTAACTCTGTCTGTTACCGTTTCATTCTTAAACTGCTAAACAGACTTCGATAAAATTTGGCAAAAACATAAATTGCATCCTGAGGACGAACATAGGCTTGATCCGCGCCCTCGCCACGCGACCAAAACTGCGGGAAAAACTAGGTATTGCATTAACATTTTAATTTTTAGTGATATAAGAGATTACCGAAATATTTTGCTCAAAAATCCCACGTATATATGGAGTCATCTTCGAGCCGGACCGTACTTTGTTGGTCTTATTGCTGGATATATCTTAACTATTTATAAACCCATCAATCACAGGAAAATAATATCAAAGGTAAGAAGTTTTTACTAGCTTTCCTCCATAGCCTACAAAACACTCTTTTACACTGTCTCGTCAGTCTTATGGCTGACTTGAGATGGCACATTCGGAGATCTTGGGTTCAAGTCCTGGTTTAAAACGTACGAGTATAATTATAACTAAGGGATTCCACTAAAAAAGTCTCTGAAGGTGAACTAACATTTTTTTATTGTGCAAATAACCATGTAAGATCAATATGGCAGGTGTTTTGAAATAGCTTGAGATAGTCACTGGTGGATGTTGAATATGGCTAAAGGTCACAATTATGTTCAAGTACGTCAAAAAGATTAATAAAGTTTCCTTCCAAATAATTTTTAACCGACTTCCAAGAAGGAGGAGGTTCTCAATTCGTCGGAATCTCGATAACGCCTGAACCGATGTGGATTCTTTTTTGCTTCAAAGGTGGTCCCATATAAATTTTATCGGAATCGGTGGAGCGGTTTTTTAAAAAATCAATAATAAAGTATTTTGTTAAATAAATTGTTTAATCGAATATGTTATTCAAAAACTTTCTTCTTGCAAATTGCCTGCTTATTACATCTACACTAAAAATGGAAAAATAAAAACTTAAAAAAACCGACTTCCAGGCACTAAATTGTAAAAAATAACTAAACGGGGGTTTTATTAGAATAGATACCTTATCAAATATTTTCGAAGTCGGTGCCAGCCGACAATATTTTAAGATATCAATATCTAATAGGTAAATATGTATTTTACGTTTCGAAATATACTAGATGTCCTTTGCATCGACTGGCACCGACTTCGAAAATATCTGATTAGGTATTCTAGAGATGCCACGAATATTCGGCAACTATTCGGTATTTGGTTATTCGGCCATTTTTTTCGCTATTTGGTATTCGGCCGAATATTGCAAACTATTCAGCTGAACACCGAATAGCAAAACATAAAAAAAGAACTCAAAATATTACTCATAAAGACAATTTAACCAACAAACTAACATATCAATATTTAAAATCTACTAGTGGTAAGTTATACTGAATGAAAACAATTTTTTCATCATTTGTTGATAGCAAACGATTCCGTTTTTCCTCATAAATTAATCCTGCTTCCGAGTTGTGACTAGGGATGTGCGAATATCATTAGAATCGAATCGAATCTAATATTAATATTCGAATCGAAATTTGAATCAAACATTTCGAATTTTCGAATAATTTGACATTCGATGAATTATTCGAAAATAATCGAATAATTCGAAATTTTCGAATAATTCGCGAATAATTCGAAAAATTCACGAGTTATCGAATTATCACTGTTCTATTGTTTCCAGTTTGAATTCCATTACATCGTGTATCAAAATTCTACTTACGAATCGTATATACATTTTGATTAAAAATCAATTACCCGGAGAAAACAATTGCTCAATTTCAATCTATGTTCATCTCTGTCAGTAACATAAAAAATCTAGATACTAATATTGCCAAGAGACCTTTTCAATTCATTTTGGTTTTTCTAATTATTAATTTCCGTATGAGAAACATCTATAAGAGAAAGGTTACACATGCAATGTTTTAAAATGCACAAAATTAAATTCTCCAAGTTTTTTTTGTACATTCTTATAGTCTGGCTTATGAAAGTCGAGCCTGAGGTTTAATTGTAATTTTTCACATAGCAACATTCTGTAAATGTCATAATAAAATTTTAATTATGATAGTGCAAGTGCATAGAAATTTATTTGATAATTTTTTTGGTTAATTTTTGTAATATAGAACTTGATTATGTACTCATCTTTCATCTATACATATAATAAAATGGTAACTAAGTCGAATCTGTACATTAAATATTTTTTGGAAAATCTAATAGAAATAGACATTATTATCGATACAGAGTACGAATCTATAGTTTTGATCATTTTTGTCTGTCTATCTGTTACCGCATCACGAAAAAACCACTGGACAGATTTTGATGAAATTTGGTATGATGATAGCTGGTTATCCGGGTCAACATATAGGATACTTTTTATAGCGGGGAAATATCTCATTTCTCATTGGTTTTTGGTCATCTGAACGCGGGCGGAGCCGCGGGCAATGCTAGTGCTTTAAATAAAATTTATATTAATTGTTCATTTCATATTTGAATATCGAACATAACAAACTCTGAATTCAAAATACTCAATTTGCCAATAATATAAAAATCGCGAATAATTCGGAAAAAATCGAATTAATCGCAATTTTTCGAATTATACGATTTTTTTCGAATTAATCGAGAACTTTCGAATAATTCGAATTTTCGAATTATTCCATTCGAGTTTCGAATTATATTCGATTAGTTCGCGGAAAGTACTAAGTGGTGTAGTTAGTAGTCATTTTTTACATTTTATTGCCTGGAAGTTGGTTTTTCAATCAAGTTTTTATATCAGTAGTAGTAGTAGTAGTATTTTCTAGTAGCAGCGGAATATGGTATGGCTAATTAAACTTCTGGAAAGTTCTGTGTCTGAGACATCTCGCTTTAGTTTAGAAAAATATAACTCCATTTCATTTGTAAGACATTTTTATCCTAATAATTAAAACTAAATTGTTTATAGGATTTAAATTATTGACAAACAATAAAAAAACACATTTAGTATACTAATGGCTTTTGATATTTTAATGTCCAATTAATAAAAGTTTTATCATTATATTTTTAGTTCTGGTCGACACTTGGCTTTGTAATAGCATTTTCAATAGCTATCAAAGTTATGACTATGGGAGGCTCTTTCTTAGATAAAAATAAACCCTATAATGTATGGGAATCAGCGATTTTTGCCTCATTAAACAGAACTATATGGGCTCTTGCTATGGTAGCCATTATAATGTTCTGCGAATATGGAACAGTGCGTAAGTTTTGTTATAGTTTACTACAAGCATTTTTAATTATTATTATTAGGAATATCCTTGACACTTCTTCATGCCTCAACCCTCTATTCCCCAGTTAAATCCCCATTAATATCTATTAAGTAATTCTCCCTTTAAGTCTTTATCACTTTGGCATTTTTATTGTATAAGAAACAGTCTAACACAGTCTGTTAAGATACATTCTTATGGCCGGTTTACACGTGTTAAGTAGTTTAGTAGTTAACTAAATTTTAACTTAAATTTAAGTGACTTATATTTTAGTAGCTGTCTAAACGTGTTTAGTAGTTAAGTAGTTAAGCTCTTTAGTTGTCTTCTCCATTCTACGTGACATTGGCGAAGTAATCTGTGCTCAATAAAAGAATTGAATTAGAGCTCTTTATTTCATTCAAGATGGAAAATCAAAAACGTAATGAAATCATAAATTCTGTGCTTAATTTTATTTTAAGCGAGATAATTCATGCTTTTTACGTTCCATAAGCATTCTTTTTTTAAATATGCTTCTAACAAAACATAACGAGAAAAAATTAAACTTAGTGCGCCACTACTTATGCGTTTAACTAAACTACTTATGCGTTTATAACTAAATTGTCTGTCCAATTAACTGTCCAAGTGTCCAAACGTGTCAAGTGACAAGCCCCGCCCACCAACTAAACCGAAAAAATAGAAAACATTCTAATTTAGTAGTTAACTTAATTTTAACTTGCAACTTGCTACTAAATTCTCTGTTTACACGCAATTAATCACTTAAAATTAAGTTAAAATTTAATTTAATTTAGTTAACTACTAAACTACTTAAACACGTGTAAACCGGCCATTAGAGATTGACGGATACGAATAAAGTTTGAACGAAAATGTTCATAGTTATTTTGGCTTTGTTTGTTTTTTTTTTGTAATAAGCAACAGATTTATTAAAATTAAAAAAACATATTTATTTTAGTTTTACTTAAACCATAAAGGATAAAAACAACCACCCTAATTAGATTCACCTCTATATTTCGAATTCACTCAAAAAAGATCACACACGATATGAAATCCCTTGTCAAAGAACACTTTTGCACTACTTTTTTTTGATATGTATTAATTGCATTTTGACATAAGATTGTTTAATTATCTTTCAGCCATCGTCCACACTTTGCTAGTGTGGAAACCCTTCATACCCCTCAGCAAATTATCTTACGGGGTCTACCTGTGTCATATGGTAGTCTTCTCATTCGTAGTTGCTGTTATTAGAACTTCGTATACATACGATTTGTATACCGTGGTAAGTAATTTTATTTCATTAACTAGCGAGTTACCCTGGCTTCACTTAGGTTTGTCCATAGGCTTAACAACCATATGCCTTTCTTTTTTTTTTAACGTTGGGAAATGCATTTACGCACGACGTGTGGGACTCACCGGCGTAATACAGCCAGTACTACCCACTAAAACCCAACAAAACCTTCCCCCGTCTTAATGGGGCGTCGCAGGATCGCTTACGCATTCAACTACGATGCCCCGACGGCAGGTCTGCCAAAGCAGACCACCACAACCATGGGGTTGCTCCAAGGTCCACTCTGCTATCAGAGAAGTACCAGGAGCAACCCGCAAGGTACACCGCCCCCCGAAGAGGGCCACCTCCCACCGCCCACCGAAGTGAGCAACCTCCCTGTGCGTTTCTTAGCTTCGCGCCCGGTTGGATTGCCGGGCACTACTGAGCCCCCCCACCACGACAAGGTGAACGCACGTTGGGGGGGAACAACCATATGCCTACCCTATGTGTTACTTCGTCTTCTTCGTCATAGTAAGTCTGTATCACACACACATAACACACACAGCACACGCGCGCCCATACGCACACACACACACGCACACACACACACACGCACACACGCGCGCACACACGCACGCACGCACGCACGCACGCACGCACTCATACGCAATCAGAACACAAACCGTTTTTTTTCAGTTTTTGTTATTTAATAAAAAAAAAATGTGCCATATTTTTTTTAAATGGTACTTGTAGTTTGTACTATTATCATTGTGTTGGCATAAACCTGTCAGCTGTTAAAGAGCGCAGAGGCTAGGGAAATCTTTATCATCTGTGTATGTATAAAACTATGTCAATAAAGAATTTAATATTACTATTATGTATTTATCGAAATCAGTTCAGCCATTTGAACGTGAAGGAATAACACGTATATTAATACATATATAAATTTTCCCCTTTTCATTTCTGTGTCTGGCTGTGTCAGTTCTTTGAGAAACACACATGGCACTGAGCATAAAATGTTCCAAATATAAAACAGTTAGACCATGACAAATATTACACGTGTACCTAATATACCAAAATATATGTAGCCTCTTTAATAGTGGCTATCATGTAAAGCTGTACATCGAGAGGTCATCATTCTGGGTTCGAGTCTCAGTTCAGGAGAAAACAGTAGGTTCTTCATAAAATACTTAGCAGTACGGAGATGGAAAGTTGGGATACACCCTCGCACCTTGAAATCTCAAGGTAATTGCCCGCCATGCCTAAAATCATTTAGGACCCTCAAACATATGTCTTAAGTAAGTCTCGAACCCACGACATGCAATGTAAAAGACTAACAAGATGTATATAAAAAGTTTTAATTTCAGATTGTCTATACGTTCGGAGTGATCGTAACATCTTATTGTCTTAGCGTTGTACTACATTTATTCTTCGAAGCACCGATGACCATCATAATTAATATGCTTACGAATAAAAGGTAATGTATCTGTATCTTCTGCTATCTTATTCTATTATAAAATCTGTTATAAAAATTTGTGGAAAAGATATAAAAATTGCGTTTTCTCAGGTTAAACTCTTATATAGATTACTTAAAAAGCAAAAATATCTAAATAAGTACAAAATTTGATCCAAATCGTTGGAGCGTTTCTGAGATACCTAAAAAAATATATTTATATACAAGAATTGCGCATTTAATATTATAAGATAAAATAAAATATACCAAATTTCGGCTTCATAGGACAAGTATTTTCAAGATTTTTTGTTTAGTCAGTGAGTAAGTCAGTAGCATGAACGAATTAGCCACGTCAGTGGCTTCTTGCTTTTATATATAGATTAGTATGTATAGTTCTTTTGCCACCAATAATGTATTACAATATATTTAAAAGGTCATTGAAATTATTAAAAAAATATCATATTGATTGTCATACTGGTTTCTTTTAAAAACACCTGTTTTATTTAAATCTAAAAATAATATAGTAACTATAGTATTTATTTATTTGTAAATTGTATAAAAAATACTTATAAAAATTATATTTTCATAGGTGCAGCAGTATAAAAGGAAAGGAAACTAACTTTAAAACTGGAAATGGGCTTATACGTGAAAATCAAAATGAAATGAAATCAAAATGAAATGATGAAAAAAAAAGTCTTAATATATTTTTACTATAGGTACTCTGAGTTCGAAAGTGAAATATTTGCTTTAACGAGTTGATTTGTCTATCCATATTTATGTTTTAAATCCCTGTTTAGTATGTATAATATAGTAAATACTTTTTGGATTTTGAAGGTTTTATTATTTATAAATAACTCAAAACCAAAGTGCCTGTACGTGATAACATCGAGCTGATATAGTTATTTAAACTTGCTATTACGATCTTTCTTTATGGGATGCGGGACAGGAATTAGCACAGGTTGATAGACTTTGAATTCTACGTTTTTGGGGATAGGAACAACTACTTCCTTACAATGCTTGATGGGTTCAAGGTTTTCCTCTTCAATGTGTTGGTGGACGGGGTAAGAGTGGGATTGTAGGTCATGACACCCATAGCTTTGTTCGCGTAATAATGCTGTAATAATGCAAATAATAATTAATTAATGCTCGCTTGGTTGGAACAATAACAATAATTTAAATGACATCAAATGGAGAATTTTTATGGTGTTTATAATATACATTTGTATTTATATATTTATGCTTATATATTATATATGGAAATATATTGTGTATATATATTTATATGTTTATATATTGTATTTATTTTGTTTAACATAATATGCTTATTCCTAAAAGAAATCTTATCGTTTCTTTGCACTTGGTCTTTCTGTTATAAACACCACCTTTCCATCTTTATCCACGTCATTTTCTAAGAATTTTTTTTATTACGTGTTTTGTTCTATAATAATAATAATAAATACCAACAAAAGTTGAGACAATATACACATAATAACAATAATTTTATTAAAATACTTTTACAAAGTTATTATAATATTTACAAAATAGAATAAATGACCAAGGACACAATACAATTTGAAACCTACCTGAACTAGGTAACAACCTGTGTTTCAGGTTATAGTTTTAACTTTAGTTTAGTTCTAATTCACCACTCTTACGAAGCTTTAAATTATATAATTTTATATTTCAGCAATGTGATATAGATATTTTTTTCTGATAGTTTAAATTTATTCAAAAAGAAAGTGTATTTAAATATTTAGATTAGTTTTTTTTTTTCTTCTTTTGTTTATTGTACACATAAAATTTTAAAGGAATAATTCTATAAAAAGCTGTGCATACTTTTAAATTAAATTTATATACAAATAGGTAAAATTATAATGTTGAATAAATGTTTTTATGTAAATTTAGTTAGTAAGCCTTTATAATAAATAAATAAATAAATAAATAAATAATAAACATGAATTTTTTACTGTAACAAAGCTTTAGAACAGAGCAAATTTTGAAACTTTATGTAAAATGACAATTAAGAAAACTTATGTAACTAACTAGACTGACATCTATTTATCTATATGTATTAAAATTTATAATTAACGTTATTTTAATATTTCTAGCATTTTTTCTGTGTCTGTGTAGTTCAAATATTGAAGAAATTTCGATATTATTATTTTACATTTTTTATAACTTATACAATATAAATCCAAAACTCTATTGAGTTTGTTGTACAAAAAAGCTCCTAAAAATATATAAAACCTATTAGCAAAGGCATGTTTCGTTCGTGGCTTAGTACAGAACAAATCTTTTCTTCTCTTGTCTGAAGGAAGGTAATAATAAAGAATATATGATGTTGTTAATATCATATTTAACGCAATGGAATTCTAATATACATCAAAACTAATAAATTAATGTTTTTTTTGAAATCTATCAATGAATGACTGAGAAGTTAATTTAAATTTATAATAAATTTTATTTGTAACATAATTTTTACTTTATATACGTCTTTATCCAGTAAGCATATTTAACGACATCAGTAAATATGACATACTCGTTAGGATCACAAACGTTGTAATCATTCTCTTTACTGAATGCTAACGAAATAATTCGTCTAATGAACCACACTCCAGATGTCTTGTTTTCTTCATTATCATTACTTGGTATGAAAACAACATAGCCACCGCCACTATCGCCTTTGCACTCTGATGTTCCTGCAAAATTTTAGTTATCTTAGTTATTTATACTACTATAATAATAAAAAAAAATTTAAGAAAATAAAAAACCCGAATGCGTAAAAACCGAACTAAAAAGATAAGTACAAGTTGATAAAGGAACATAATAAGTCGGAGACTAACACACACCACGCAGCTATTAGAAAACATGTACTTGTGTTCTCATTCTTTTAGTTCGCTTTAAACGCAGTCCGGTTTTTTTTTATAAATTATTTTTTATTTACAGCCTTTTAGGTTTGGTCAGTTAGACATTTTTAGTTTTATTTAACAATTTGTTATCCTTTTTAAACTTATAAGTTATATATATTTTTATTTGCCAGTTTTGTAGTTGCCAGTCTTAAACCCCTTATTTTGATATCAATTGATATTTTTTTAGATACAAATTGGCGCTTTAGATCCGCCATTTTGAATTTTTATTTTATCTATATGTCCTATGGCAGTCGCGTTATCAAGACGTATGAATCATCAAAATCGGTTAAGGCGTTTAGTAAATGACGAGGGAATATATGTAGTATCGGGCATATATACATACAGGTCAAAGATCTAGCCCAGTCGGGTAAAAAGGTATTTTTTTACAAAAAAGGTAAACTTGTTTGTATGTAGGGAAAATCTCTAGAACTACTAAACCGATTCCTAAAAATCTTTCACTGATGTACTATTATCGTGGTCACCCTACAACATGTATCGGTTACGTCAGTTTACACTAGCGTACGAGCTGATTTATTGACGATGTTTTTAATAATATTGTAAATGGACTTTTAATAAATATGCGAAATATAATACTATAAAAAAATTTTATTTCACATTATCATACTCGTAACAAAACTGTATGTCAACATTTATATAATATCAACAATATCCTGGCCGTTTAAAAAAAAATGTAAAAAAATGCGATTTTCACCAAAGACCGACGTACAAAAACTTAAAAAGCAAAATCTTATCTAAGTACAAAGGATAAATCAGGATAAATATTGCCCTCAGAGCCAAATGTAATGGATATCATACTGTTAAGTACGTTAATTATCACATCACCTGTTACTCTATTTGAGTGTCCTTGCAAAATGATCTGATAAAGACATTTTTTTTTAACTTTTCATTCTCTAAAACTAATAGTGCTAGAAATGTGAATCCAAAGCTAAACTGTAGACAATATTTTGCCAAATATAACTTATATCCATCTTAATTATTTTGTTAATTAAAAACATTTTTTTATTTGGCTCTGGGGGCAAATTCTCAATACTTATCCTGCTATACCCTTTGATCCACTTCGTTAGAGCAGTTTCCGAAATGCACTTTTTAGCTCTGCTCTCAGCTCTCTTGCTCATTTAATATTATAAAATAAGATGAAATATAAATGTAAAATTTAAAAACCACACCTAATAACGATCCTTTTACGAGCAAAATATACTGAATAAAACATTATGAGTGACCTTTGTTTACATCGAAGGTTTTTTCCTTAGACTAGTTGACTTTCTGCAAGTTGTGAAATATAGCAACACAACTCTTGTTTTATGTAAGTATTTCTGTTAACTGCAACTGAATTTTGGATTTTGGCCCCGTTAGATTTCGCAGGGAAAGGATGAGCCTGGTGGGGCCAATACCTTGCTTAATGGAGAGCGAAAGCGTGATGGACATACGTTTTATCTCCGATCAGTATTTTCGTACACAGTTGACAGAACAGTTCTATGAAAGTTTATACAACTCGGGTGCTTCCTTAGGTACACGAATGTTACAATTTAATGGGATTTTTCAATTTTATTAAATAAAAGTAGCCTAAGTTACCCCTTATAACATTAGCTACCTGCCAAAGTCCCGTCAAAATCAGTCCAGCCGTTTCGGGAGATTAGCCAGAACAAACAAACAGACAAAAATAATAAAGATTGTTTTTTTTTCTTATAAGTACCGTATATACTTTCATATGGATTTAATAAAACAATTTTATTTATTGGTATTGATATATACAAAAATTTAACGACTTTCCCAAAATCTATGTGTAATTATTTTAAAATTAAACACATTGTAGGTACTTCTATTATTTTAAGAAGCGGCTTATATGACTGATTATTCGGATATGACTGATATCGACTCGGATCAATACAAATATTTTTATAGTACAATATTTTTTTAAAATATTTTCTATTAATACCTGTAAACTTAATTTATTATTACATAATATAATATGTACAATTACATCTATTTATCTATACAAATTAAAATTAATTACCGAAATATATGTACTCACATAGCTTCTGGTCGACTGCACCAGATAATTCTTTTTTTTTGTTTGTTATTGTCAGGAAGTTTTGTACAGGAGAAAATGAAAAGATTTTTTTTACTAAAATAAGATTTTTTTAATTGAATGAAATGAAAAGTGAGTGAGTTAAATAGTTTTTATCCCGGAAATCATACCTTGGGTGAGAAAGGGGATGAAAATTTGTATGGGGAAGCAAGCTAGGGATGAACCCGAGCGAAGCGAGGGTGAGTCGCTAGTCTATACATATAATAAAATTGTAACTAAGCCGAATCTATACATTAAATATTTTTTGGAAAATCTTATTGAATTAAACATTGATATCGATACAGAGGCCGAATCTATAGTTTTTAGATTTTTTGTCTACCTGTCTGTCTGTTACCGCATCACAAAAAAAACCACTGGAGGGGTTTTGATGAAATTTAGTATGGTAGTAGCTGGTTATCCGGGCAATATATAGGATACTTTGTACCGCGGGAAAATATCTCATTTCTGAGAAAAAATACAACAACTGCAATGTAAGAGTATACTAATTATGGTACAACTGATTTGTATTGAATATATTTCTCGCGAATTATTTTCAAGTTATAGAAAATAGTTACAGCAACGTATAAGTCAATAAAATCAAATATAACAAATAAGTAATTTTTCTAACTTAAAGCCGCCTTCGAGGACGAAACTCCCAGACTAATGATAAATTGTTATTTCTGTGCATTATAATAATTAATTTGAATATACTCGTATTATAAAAAAAGTTGCCATTCAAAAATTATTGCATTTCTTGGTCGCACTCCTCCCGGGCTATTTGTATCAGGTATACAGGCTGCTCATAAACACATAATATTATTTTAAAATAATACTTAATAATTATAAAAAGAATACTAACTAGATATTTTTTCTTTTTTTTTTTGATAAATTCAATTGTAGTAATTTACACAGTTTTGAGTCTATCGTGAATATGATTGTCATTGGATTGCGAATATTACTCGCGGCTCTTTCATTTGGTAAGTTTTGAATATTTTTAATTAAATATATAAAGGGAGAAAACATTTCAGAAAGACAAATTATAAATAATAGATTTATAATATCTAGCGAAGAAAGTGAGATTTCAAAGGATAAATTTAAATTCACGAGTGACGTAAATTTAATAAATAATTTATTAGGTTTTGCGTTTTTTAGAGTAAGTCTCTATGTTTTTTTTTAATACAGCGGATACCTTATCACGAGCCCTTTCATTTCTTATGTCACAAATGCGGTTTACCGCGTCTCTGCACACGTAGTTTAATTATGTATAGTATATTTTTATTCTCCATCCGTCCATATTTTGCATTTATAATATAAGTTAGTAGGATGATGAAAATTCTATTCTAGCATCTCCGCAAAAATTAGCCCTCATGTTTACAATTCATGCACGTACGTTTTAAGTCTGTCATTTGATCACCTCATTTCATATACCCAAAAATTTAGCTCATCCAAAAAATCGGAAAGAAATGTGTATGACAGACAGACACAAGAGTGACCCTATTAGAATACAGTTTTGATGTATGAATATATTTTTTATAACATATTATGCCATCAATTATTTTTTTTGTCAGATTATAATGTAGTTTTAATGTATATTTAGACGAAAGTCCGCGAAGTTTTCTGACGTCTGAGATCCTAGGGTAGGTATTCCATAAGTTAGTAGTCTCTAAGTGGGAGTTAATGCTTTGACTAAAAACAGTCAGGAGGCCGTAATAGGATGTAGGATGTGGACATATAGTGCACATCCTGATTTATTTTATTAATCATTATTTTCGTTAAATAATATCTTGTTTTATTCTCATAGTATCTGGCGACCGAGTTTCGGATTTTTTTTTCGAAAAAGATATAAAAATTGCATTTTTTAAGAAAGGATGTAAATGAACCTATGTAATATGTATGTGATAAGCTTAAAAGGCGAAACCTTATTTTAAATAAAACAATTTTTCGGATTATTTCGCGGATTTATTTTGATTTTTGGCTTAGGACGGGAGACCCGTGATCGTGATTGCTGTAAAGCATTCAAAACGTCGAGAATCAAAAACGAAAATAAATCCACGCAATAATACGAAAAGATCTATCTAAAATGTCAAATATTAGCGTAAATCTAAGAAATTATTAAGAAGAAACTTATATATGCAAAATTTGATCCAAATCGTTAGAGCCATTTCCCAGATACACGAAATAAATTTATAAGAAATAAGAAATAACAAATAAGAATTGCTAATTTAATATTATAATATTTATTTTTGACTTTTTAGTTATACTTCCTGCTAACCTTGCTATATGATGTTCACATACATGTCCCGATAGCATAATAATCAACTTGATTCCATCTTTTTTTTTATTTAATTTTATATATATTTTTTACATGGCGCTTAAGAGACGTAATTACAGAAATAATTACTTTCAAACCACTAACAAACAGTGTTCAGCTTTGTATATTACTATAGATAGATTTTAGTAACGCTATTTTTTATATTAAATATAATTACAATTTACAACATAACTCTATAATACTCTATAGCGTAACTCGATGTCCCTGGACGTTATAATCTGATTATATTTGGATATATTGTGTAAGAAACTTTAAAATCATTTATTAAATGATTGTCGCATTAAATTTGATGTTATTTCTTTATTATAACGCTTTTATTACAAACTAGCTTACCTCTGCTTCGCTCGAGTGTGTCCCTAGGTGCGTTTTGAATAGATATAAATAGTTATTAGCCAGCCTTAGCCATGTACATTTTATTTATTTATTTTCGTGAATGTTTCCAATGTTTTAATAGTTATTCTGTTATTCGAGGCAGAGACAAATCCAACGAATCAATAATCATAAAAATCGGTCCAGCTGTTCTTGAGTTATAAATGGTGTAACCAACACGACCTTATTTTATATACATAGTAATATTATATTTAATGTGAAAGTGTTTGTTTGTTTGTTTATTTGTCTTTCTTTAACGTCGAAACGGCATGGCCAATTGGCGTGATTTTTTGTGTGGAGATAGTTGGAGGGCTGGAGAGTGAATAGGCTACTTGTTACCGCAGGAGATTATCTCTTTCTCACGGGTAAACACGTCAGCCAAAAAAATATTTATGCTCACAATTACTTGAAACTTGTTATAAATGCTCTGCAATGCAAAATTTTTGAATACGTGTTTCAGCATTTTTTTGAAATTCATCCTATAAGGGGGTAAAATAGCGGTTGAAAGTTGGTATGAAACCTACCATTTTAGAGATTTTTTTGTAGTTTTAGCGCGAGCGAAGCCGCAGGTTCTGCTAGTATGTATATAAAGATGCAACTAAGCACGTGTGTTATACCCATTTTTTACCAAATATCGGAGATTATTCTTTTGGTTATACCACGATATTGTTAGATAAATACCATGATATTGTTCGAGAATTTACCATAGTAATGTATATTTTTTACACCATCAGAAAGTAGAGATTACAACGAAGAAAAAGTCCACTGGCTTTTTTTAAAAGCAGATATTTTGACGCGAGTATTTTCGATTGAAAATTAGGGTGCTTTTTCGATATTAAGTCAAAATAAGGTGAAAAAATTAAATATTTTAAATAAAAAAAATTATAGTATGTATGGGACTTAAAAACGTAAGTTTTCACCAAATTTCGTAAAAAGAAAAATGTTTTTGTAAAAGATAAAAATAAAGAACCGAAAACTTGGCTATTTGAATTTTTCACATAAAGTTTGAGGTTATGTGAAAAAAGTGTAAATACAAAAGTAGTAGACCTTTGCACTACCTACAACTTTGTTATTTAACTTTTTTCCATGGGACTTGTAGTTTTGCCGGAAATCGAGATAAACCATTTTTGACCCTTAAAAACTCACCCCCTCTCACTTCCGACCTCAGATCGCCCTTAAATTATTTTTCCTTTATTTTTTTCATACTCTCTTCCTTTTCTAACGGGTTTCATTCCATTATTATTTTTTTCACTTTTTACCATTTTCAAAGGCCCTGGTCTATAAATATTATATTTCTTTAAATAAATCTTATTCTATCTATTTATAATATATTTTTTAAAATAAAGTTATCCAAATCGATTAAATGCAAGAAGTTTCGCGCCCAATTACGCTCTTCTTGTGACCCTTGATTGGGATTGATAATAATTTATTTTCATAGGTAGTTTCAAAATGGTTCAAACTAGATAGCTTCTAATACCAAAAATGCAGACTTTTGACAAAAAAATTGAATTCTGTAATTTATTTTACTACAACAATAACATTTGGAAATACGCATTCATTATTTCACATAAAATTAATTTTACTCAGATTTTTCGTACGGCTAGTATAAATTGTGAACATGGCACTTTCGTATATATATTAAATAAATGTACGTCATAGTTGGCATAAGAAGAAAAATGTCATGAAATCACCGTGTCTGAAAAGAAATTAAAGACATTTCGTCTCTGAGTCACAAGGTATGTGGGGTATCGAAATTTTAAACGAATCGAAGACAAAAATGCTACATACCTACATATTATTATCAAGCGACTGTTTTAGGTGTAAAAACTTTAAAAATAAAATAAAAAGTGACTACAAAAAAAACACTAATAAATAGAAAATAACTGATTGGAAAGTTTTTATTTACCTACAAGTTTTTATTTACATCAAAGTTTTTATACACCTAATCTGATATTTTCGAAGTCGGTGTGCTTTAATTTGTATAGGCTGGCACCGACTTTCGTTTCATCGCATTAGTAATTTGCTATTTAAAAATCATTATAATATAAAAAGTTAAAAGGTCCACCGAAAAGTCTGCAATATCATATGTCTATCTCCTAAGATACACGCACAATAACTATTTTATAAGAAGCGGGTTCAAACCCGGTTCTCGTATCTCTGATATTTTCAAGTGCGAATCATGTTCAACATTATTACCACTTCGTAAGGAAACCTACAGGAAGTCCGCCAACTAACACTTGGCTAGCGTGGTGGACTACGGCCCCTCATTTTGAAGCGAAACCCGTGCCCAGCAGTTGAACGTTAAAAAGTGTTAACTTAAAATCATCTTAGAATAAATTCTTTGTCTGCTTACAGGTGAAATTTTATCCCAAAATATGAATGTTGTTGTTACCAAAGATGATCTACAAAAAGTACCCCCTGATATATGTACTGGAAGCAAGCGAATATCTCATATGGATTTATTAATAAAAAATATAATATACGAAGAATGGGACCCTGATGAGAACATTTGTTTGGAAAAGATATTAAATATTATGAACAATGTTAAGAATTCTACATTATGGGCGACATGGAGTATGTATATGATACTGTTTATTTATTTTATTACGGGAAAGTCACTCTGGTACCCTTTGTTAACTGCCTGACAGGCTCTGACAGACTGATTTGTTTTTGCTGTTTAAAGGAGGAAAAAATATTTTTCATCTAGGATAAAGTCTAAATATCATCTATTGGGTTGTAAAAATTTAATACTTAATATTAATGTTGTAATTTGCTACCTAAAAATCATTATAATGTAAAAATCTACATTTTCATTGTCATAAAACAATTTTTACAGATATTTTCGCGTATTATTTAGATTTTTTGATCTATGATTTATTGAGATATATGATTGATATTATGTCGTAGGTCGATCTGTAATAACTACAAAGTCTAACGGCTTAATCTCTCCTATTACCAAAATTACTGTAAAGCATACAAAACTTATGCGATACTGGAAAAGTCAAGGGTAAAATAGTTTTTTCCCATGTCAAATATTCATCTAACCAAAGAAAGTGTTGATTATTTTCAGTTTGGGATGCAATGCAAAGCCCTACAGGCTTGTTCTTCGGTGCGAAATATCAGTTTGGCAACTACGATCAATGTATGAAAGCTCCGTGGCTAGAAACTCATCCCAAATATCGCACTCAGTACTGCCTTGTTGATGTTACACTAGCTAAAGCAGAGTTGAAAGAAATATCAGTTGATCCTGAAAGTTCCGTAGAAGTTTATATTAATGTTAGTGTTTTTAGTACAGTTACTAATATGGTGTTGTTATTTTGAATGTGATTGTAAGTAAAACTACTATAATAACACAATGGTTGAAGCCTGGAATAGTATTTTAATTAAGCGTTGTATAATACCATTCCCGTCGCAGTGACCGCATTGTTAAGTGGCTGCGAATTGGACAGTTAAGTAATACTTTATTTAGCTAGCGACTTACCTTCGCTTAGCTTGCGTCCCTAGGGGTCTTTTTGTCTTATATTTTATTATATTATATCAAATTTTTTTGGGCGCACGCCAATGAAGCAATTCACGTCTTCTGATTTGAATTAAAATTATTTAATTTTTAACAGTAAACCCATTGTCAATATGCTTCATTACAAACATGGTCAAAGGAGCGCCTAAGGTTTTACATGTTTCAAATATAACGCAATCGAAACGTCGGAAACAAAAATATTAGATCAAACCGCAACAAACTCTGAAAAGATGGTTTCATTTTATAATTGACTTGCCTCTACAAATGTTACATATACACGTTAATAATTTTACATAGACTCGGGAGTTTTGACAATTACAATTTATATTTTACAGTCTATTTCAAAACATGGTGTGACATTTAACACATTATCGTTGGGAGTGTGCTTGCCATATGAATGTCAATCGAAATCCATTAAGAAATTTGTCAAAGTTCTCTTCGAGATTGGCCATCTTGGAAACGCCGTACCGGAAGTGGATATAGCCGTAGACCACTGCCAAGTTGCCGGTGCTTCCGCCGAATATTCCAGAGAGTTCTATATTGTTGTGTAAGTTCTAGAAACTTTTATTATATGTAGTAGTGAACATTATGTACAAATATACTTAATTATATATACAAAACAAATGTACAGTTTTTTAATTATGTTTTTACTTAATTACTGTATAAGTCATGTCCGGCTTTTTAGTTAGTTTTATTTAAAATAGTTTGTTGTTGTCCTGGTGTATGAAATGGAATCTTGCAAGTTAAATTTGACCCGCTTACAAGTCTCCCAATAAGCTGAAATTCGACACACCGGTTTGGTTTCCTAGACAATACATGATTACTTAAATGCTGCCATTTTAAATCCAATACAGGGCTCGGATGCAGTTATATTTTTTGAAACGGTTTCGTCTTAAATACCTAAAAAACGATTTATATTGGTTTCGTTTGAACAGAACGCTATATAAAAACATTTTTGAGCAGGAACAAAATTTAAATCGTTTTCGGTTAATAAAACGTTTTTAACCGTTATTTTTCTTATTTTTCTGGGATATCCAGTACAAACTTACGAATAGTTTCATTCACTAGGTGAGCGTGGCGTAGTTTAGTTGTTGCACGTTAAGCGCGGTCGCGTTCTGCGGATTGAACCGGTTTTTGAAAACGTTCTCGTTTCGTTTTCGTTCCGAACAATAAATTGTACATAATAGTTCAAAAAACTGTTAGAAACATTAATTAAAAAACTATATTTTAAGTAACGTTTCCGAGCCCTGATCCAATATGGTGGCTACCGCAAAATGGCAATTAATTATTTCCGCATTAACCCCTATGATATGGGTATCAAATGAAAGGGCAAATATAAATATAATAAGCGGAACATAAGCAAAGTTACGTCTTTGTAAATCCAATATGGAGGACTTCCAAAGGTGCATAAAAAACATAATCCGCCATGGGTTATGTTTTTTATGCACCCCCCATGATATGGATATCAAATGGAAGGGTTTGCTAAGAAGAATACGAATAACTACAAAATAGAAAATAATAATCGTATAAAAACCTTTGTAAAAACAAGTTTTATTTAAATGCTCTAAAAAGAAGAAAATAAACATTAAATTAAATCATACCCATCAATTAATTACATTAGACAATTGATAGATAAACAATAAAAAAAATGTAACAAAATAATATGTTATTTATTTAAATAAAAGTTTGTTATTAAAAATATTTTTTTACAATTATTTTATTTAAAATAGACTGATTAAAAATAATGAAGAGAGACTAATTGCTTACATGCTGATGGCATGCAGTTTGTCTCACCCCTGCCGCATATACTCATATAAAAAAACGATTATTGTACAATATACTTGCATGCCAGCGATGTATACATAATACATATTATGCCTGAAGCCAGCATGTACACGGTGCAGCTCTCTATATTTTTAATAGTACATTAAATAAAAAAGACATAACAAGCTTACATCTTTCAAATTATTATTTTTTTTAATTTTTTCAGAACAATTTTCTCAACAATCATTTTTTTAATTATATTAGGCAATATAATTGGTTATGAAGAGTCTAAAAATGCCAATTCTTTAGGTAAGTTTCTTTATCTACGAAAACCTATTATGTAATATATACTAGTGATGTGATTTAGGTATTGATTATTGATGGTTATAGATTGATTTAGGTAGCAAGAGCTATCTATAATGATTTTGTCCACTAATATCCTACGAAAAAAAATTATACTGTCAAGCGAATAAATTATTGCTAAACAAAACTACAAATCAATGAAAAGCACAAACTACAAATAAAAACTTTTTAACAAAAAAATAAAAACCGACTTCAAACAAAAGCACTAAAAAGTAAAAAATAACTGATTGGTAGTTTTCATTTACTATACATACCTAATCAAATCGAAGTCGGTGTGCTTTGGCTAAGTAATTAAATCCTACCTATTAAATACATACCTAATCAAATATTTTCGAAATCGGTGCCAGCCCATACAAAGCAAAGCACACCGACTTCGAAAATATTTGATTAGGTATGTATAGTAAATGAAAACTACCAATCAGTTATTTTTTACTTTTTAGTGCTTTTGTTGGTCGTTTTTTATTTTTTTGTTAAAAAGTTTTTATTCTTCCCTTTTTCAACCGACTTTAAAAAGGAGGGGGTTCTCAATTCGACTGTATGTTTTTTTTTATGTTTAGTGTAGACACTAGTAGCAAAGTAAGAATTATTATAACGTGTTAGGCTTGTCAAATCCAACAAAGTAAGCCCAAACTCAAAGTATCTTCTATTAGTCGTTGAAGAGTTCCACCTATCCACCTTCTGGCCTTACCATCAGATCAGGTCAACAATACCGAACCACTGTACTATCAACGGAAACAGAAACACTTGCAAAGTTTCAAGTCACTATATCAATTAGAAGTAGGTTAAATTCATCATTAGCTATTTTTCCACCCTTAGGGATGGTATTTTTTTTTGAAATTTAAATGGGACCAATCTGGAAGTATACACTTTCAAACAAAACAAAATTGTCCAAATCGGTTAATAAATGACGGAGTTCTGAGGTAACAAATAAAAAAAAATACAGCCGAATTGAGAACCTCCTTCTTTTTGAGGAAGTCGGTTGAAAATTAACTAAACCTGAGATATATACTGTTTTAGTAAAATTCGTACTTAATATTTTTTTTAAATGTTCTATGACTGCTGCAAATTTCACACATTTAATTATTTTAAAGATTTTAACAAAACTTCATGTTTTTATTAAAATAAACCCATTATATCATCGATATAAGTCCCTACATCGCATTTAGGTATAATTTTTCTACAAATTAGGTCTAATACACTATTTCTATTCTTCTTCTTCTCCCTGCCCATTTCCCAATCACTTGGGGTCAGCGCAGTACATCTTCTGTACTGCTGACAGGATTTGGCAAAAGTTTTATGACTGGCCGCCCGCCTGACGTCAACCCTCCTTATAGTAGATTAAAAATAATATTAGGTCCTACAGCTAGATGGATCGCAGCCGTAGGCTTAGATGAATGATGTCTGGTTTTTCATGCCTTTATTTTACTAAGAGCCTAAATATGAATGTAGTAATAAAATATTACAACTAAATTACTATTAAATATCAAGTCAATATTGCAAAGCAGTTTTCGGTTGTTTTTATTAAAAACTGTTTAATTGGGTATTTCACGTTAGAACAAACGCAATTTTGTTGATATTAAATATGCTATAAATATTATTAATTCCAGTTAATAAACTTCTAAAAGCAGCTTGTATCGAAAGGAATCTATTATATTTGAATAAATCTAGTGAAGACGACATAAGAGTGATGCACGGAATGAGATCTATTTCTTCCGGGATAGTGGTGGGCTTGCACGTGTGGTTTGTTAGTGTTTACATAGTGCCTGGTAATAGCTTGCAAATTGATATGGTAAGTTTTACCCGAGAACAAATATCTAATAAAATCTTAATTGGAATGTATGTATGTACATATTATGAAGTAGAAGTTACATTACAAACTATTCGTGGTAAGAAGTTTGTGCCGGTTTTAAAGGAAATTCGAATTGCAATGCATTTAAATTTTACCATACATTTATTAAATTATGTATGTAGGTGACATTTTGTTAAGCGCTTTATGAAATTTAAGACTGGTACCTTTCAGGGTCTTTCCACTTGGTGATTGTTTGTTAGATCCAAAAATTGATTTTCTCATCCCTGAAGGGTTATGGATTTTTAAAAACGTAGAAATCTAAAGACTCTAGGTCTGATGATCATGGGATGAAAAAGTTCTAATCGAGCTCAATCAACTTTTGCTGAGTTGTTAAACACACAGGATGTACTTTGATAACTCAAAGCTTAGCTGTCTGGCTATCCCGAGATTGGTCGGCGTAAGTGAAAAACGAGTAGGAGGGTTTAGTTTTTTATTTAGTTGAGAAAAGTACCGTGGTACTCATAGAAGCGCCATAATTTGAATCGTTCAGATTTTCCTCCCTCCACGACCGTGAAAAAAGTTCCTTACGAATGCTTAAAGAGTACTTTAATACAATTAACTTGTTTTTAAACTTTTAGTAAAATTTAGCCTTTAATTATTTTTCAGGATGTAGAAAAATACAAATTGTCAAGGCTCTACCACGCAGAACTTGTAGTGGACACATTCCTTATGATGTCTGGACTACTGCTAATTAAAGGTCTAATAGCGAGTGGAAATATTAACCCGTTTGTATGGCTCTTTAAACGATATTTGAGGTAAGATATTCATTTCGATGAACCAACACTTATTTTATTTATGCAAAATATAAAGTAACCTAATAACTAACCTAACTTAAAAATATTTAAGTTTCTGTCAATTTTTTTTTCTGGTTTTTTCGATACAAAGCGTAGTTTTTTTGTTTATTTCAGTGAAAAGATTTTTTATGAAAATATATACTATATTGTACTCATATACATTATACATGTAGAACAATTGGCATTTCTATATAAAAATTGTCTAGTAACTTGTTTGTACATCCAGGTTTCAAAATCCGTGTCGGCGACGGAAAACTTATCTTCGAGTAACGTGTGTATTAATATAGGGACAATGTCATTTTAGCGTATTATGAATAATTGTTGTAAATATGAAATCTCATTCTTATTAGATTTATTATGTTAAAATAAGTTCTAATTAGTGTAATAAGGTTAGTTTAGAGTATTTTTTGCTTATTTGAATCATATAAGACTATTTAACATTAATTTGAAAGGAATAGGTACGTAAGTAAAATGTTAGCATATAATTACGTAACTTGAAAATGAGATTTTTTGTTTCTTGCAATAGCATAATAGTTTATGTTTTAAATAATAGATTTTATTATAAAACTTATAATAAAACAAGAATTAGGTCGATAGGACTATCCGTTCAAAAGTTATAAGGGAAAATGTATAGTAAAAATGTAGCAACCTAGAAATTTAGATATTTTTGTTTTAAGACTTTTTTAATTAATTATTATATATTGAATATTATGTTTTAATATTGTATAATAGTATGTAAGGCATGTAAATAAATAAATATGTGTAAGGTGTTTTACTGAAAACATAAAATAAAAGGACTCTCAAGGTTTCGGTTTAGGGAAATTTTATTCGAAAAACGAGCTCAAAGTACGCGGCTCTCTGTAAGGTATTAACGGGCCAAATAAAAGGCGAGCCATTTCTCGATTCGAGTCAGTCGCAAGACAGCCACCGAAGAGGCAACAACTAAAAGGAAAAGGAAGAACCGAAACCAAGAGAGAAAAAAGGAAAAATTGTGTTTTATTTCATCGCCTCTAAGTATAGTCTCCTGTCAACGAAGAAACCCTAGTGGATCGGGACCCAAGCTACGCATTCAGGGGTGCGTGGTGGCGTACATTACCAGCGAACGGACATACTGCCGTGTACGCCAAGAACGTCTGGGAGATTGTCCCAGGTCGACCTCCGGGTACTAGACATACCCTGGTTCTGGTCGTCCGAAACAGTTGGTCCTTCGAGCCGGATCCCTGCTAGAAGAAGTTCAGAAGAAACAGAAGATTGCGTTCAAGATGCCGGTAACCAGGTCGCAGAAGGATGCCCCCTCACGTCCCGGGTCCCGTCCTTCAGATAGGGACGCGACAGATGGAACGTCGGGATCAGAAGGGGTCACGTCAGCGTCGGCGTCATCGGGAACTGCAACTACATCGAACACTTCTTCGGGTACCACGACCACGGAGGGCACCACAGTGACAGAGACTACGGTTACGACTGCAACTACGGCGGCGTCTATGGAAGGCAACAAAGAAGATGCTGCACAGAGGATGACCAGGAAGAGCCAAGAAGATGTACCTGGAAAGGATGTTCAAGGCTCCTCCAAGACCCTGAAACCGATGGGGGTCAGTCGTCGCGCCAGGTCCACGAAGACCACGAGTTCCTCGGCCAGAAGACGCGAGCTAGAAGCAAAGGAAGAGTTGGCACGCCTGGAGTTGAAGCAAGCACAGGCTGAAACTAAGCTAGCCCGTGTCAGATTGGAGATGGTACAGTGTGAAGAAGAGGACTCCGTGGATGAAGACCTGGAAGACAGAACAGCACAGGTGCAGAACTGGATCGAGACGTCTGTGCTGGAGGATGGCAACAAAGTTCAACCAGAGATGCGAGGTCCACACCCCTTGGAAGAGCCACAGAAGATGAAGCCTGAAGAGAACTCCTCAACGAGAGGAGCTACGATTGAAATTCAAGCACTGACGGCAGCATTGAAGGAAGCTCTTACCACGCGAGGACCAGCAGGACAGCCAACCTACATTCACGAGTTACCCTACTTCGACGGCAACAGCAGCGAGTGGATGGCCTTCAAGGTTGTCTATGAAGATACAGCACCGATGTTCAACAACGTCCAGAATATGGCTCGGCTAAGAAGAGCACTGAAGGGCAACGCAAGAGAAGCTATCAAGAGTCTGCTGTACTCCGAAGCCTCTCCGATGGAAGTGATTCAAGCCCTCAGAAGAAGATATGGAAGACCAGATGCACTGGTGCTGGCAGAGTTGGACAAGGTCAAAACGTTGCCGAAGATTTCTGAAAACCCAAGGGACATATGCCTCTTCGCGAGCCAGATCAGCAACAGCGTAGCGGCAATAAAAGGATTGAAGAAACCACAGTACCTGCATTCACCTGAGATGGTGAAACAAATTATTGAGAAGATGCCTACGATCCTCAAGTTCCGATGGTACGACTTCATTGAAACAACAGAAGAAGGCGAGTTCTCCGACCTAACACTGGTGTCCAAGTTCCTGAACAGAGAAGCAGACAAGTGTGGAGCCTATGCATCAACAGAAGAGAAGAGCGGGTTCAGACGGACTCATCGACAAGCAACGCATTCAACTAAGGAAAAGGACTTCAAAGAAAAGGTTTCAAGATCAGAGAAGACTTGCCCCATGTGTGAGAGTGAACACTTCCTCGTCGGGTGTCAGAAGTTCCTGAAGGCGTCTGTGCAAGATCGATGGGCAATAGTGAAGAAAAGCCGCGTTTGCTTCAAGTGTTTACAAGGGACACATCGGAAGGAGAGCTGCAAGAAGCCGTCGTGCAAGGAATGCAAGAGGTGGCATCATCATCTGCTGCACGTCGAGACAGAGAAAAGTTCCTCGGAAGAACAGAAGAACAAACCACAAGAAGTGGCGAGCATCATGGCATCGGTGAATGCGGTCAACAACGCAAGGGCATACCTGAAGATAATTCCGATAGAAATCTTCGGGTCAAAAGGATCAAAGAAGATATTGGCCCTCATGGATGAAGGGTCAACAGTGTCGCTGCTAGACCAGAAGGTAGCAGAAGAAATCGGCGCTCAAGGAAGAAAGGAGGAACTGGTCATCGAGACTCTTGGAGGCAGACTGATAAGGAAGGAAGACTCTCAGATGCTGGACCTTACGGTGAAGGGGATTCATCAGAAGACCAAGAAGACCTTGAGAAGAGTCCGGACCATCGACGAGTTGAAGCTTGCACCGCAGTTCCTAGAAAAGAAAAGGATAGAAGAGTGTCAACACTTGAAGAAGATTGCTGACTCTCTATATTATAAGGGGGAGTCACCACAGCTGCTCATCGGTCAAGACAACTGGGAGCTAATCGTGACTCAAGAAGTAAGAAGAGGGAAACCAGGACAACCAGTCGCTTCAAGAACAGGACTTGGATGGGTGCTCCACGGGTCAGACACTGGAGGCGCGAAAGTGGTGCACTTCTTAAACACGTGTCTACATGTCAGCACGCTAGAAGAAGAGATGCATCAAGCCATCAAGGATCACTTCGCAATCGAAGCACTTGGAGTACTACCAAAAAGACCCACTACGGATTCAGAAGGAAGAGCACTCACCATCCTAGAGAAGACCTGCAGAAGACTAGAAGATGGTCGATTTGAAGCTGGACTTCTATGGAAAAATGAAGATGAACAGATGCCTGAAAGCTACACGTCTGCCAAGAACCGATTGTTCAACATTGAAAAGAAGATAGACAAAGACCCTCAGCTGAAGGCAGAATACAATAAGCAGATCCAGCATCTAATCGACAGCAAGTATGCAGAAGAAGCACCTGGTGGACAAGAAGATTCAAAGAAGACATGGTACCTCCCTCATTTCTCCGTGGTACATCCATTGAAGAAGAAAATAAGGATCGTCTTCGACGCTGCAGCCAAGTCTAAAGGGAGAAGCCTCAACGACGCTTTACTACCGGGACCAGACCTACTGCAATCGCTCTTCGGGGTATTACTGAGGTTCCGGCAAGGCCCGTTTGCAGTGGCAGCCGACATAAAGGAAATGTTCCTGCAAGTTCGCATCCGGCCAGAAGATAGAAACAGCTTGAAGTTCCTGTGGCGAGGGGATCGTCGTGACGTAGCACCGAAGGAGTACAGAATGACATCAGTCATCTTCGGCGCGACATCATCTCCTAGCACAGCGATCTACGTGAAGAACCGGAACGCGGCGGACTACAAGAAGCAGTACCCAGAGGCAGCAAAGGCAATCGAGCTGAACCATTACATGGATGACTACCTGCACAGCTTCCATTCAGAAGAGGACTTCAAGAGAATTACAGCGCAGGTGGACTTCATTCACAAAAAGGCGGGCTTCGAACTCCGAGGATGGGCGTCAAACCACTCCGACCTGCTGCAAGACGTGAAGACTGAGTCAGTTGAGAAGACAGAGGTGGACCTTGATGAGAAGGAAGAGAAGACACTGGGACTACGCTGGTTTACAGAAAGGGACTCCATAGGCTTTAGGGCGAACCTTCGGAACACGCCAGATGAAGTGGCACAAGGACTCAAGGTACCTACGAAGAGAGAAGTCACCAGCGCCGTGATGTCGACCTTCGATCCACTAGGGCTAGCATCACCAATTCTCATCCAAGGCAAAAGGCTGCTCCAGAACATATGGCGAAGTGGCGTCGGTTGGGATGAAGAGATAGAAGAAAAGGAGTACGAGTCATGGAAGACTTACCTGGAGAAGATGAAGCTGCTCCAAGACCTTCAGATCCCGAGATGTCTGGCACCACGTCGCACCGAGGGGGAGCTGCACACGTTCACGGATGCAAGCGAAATGGCGTATGCAGCTACGGTATATTGGAGAACTGAAAATCAAAATGGGACTTATGACGTCAGCTTAGTAGCAGCAAAAGTAAGAGTCGCTCCGTTGAAGCCGGTGTCAATCCCGAGACTCGAGCTGCAAGCGGCCCTCCTAGGAAGCAGATTGGCACACTCGGTCGAGGAAGAAATGGATCTGAAAATAGAA